ATGTTGAATGAGTCAAATCATGATCAATAACCGGATTCAGTTTTGGTAAATACTGAGTTTTCTAATGATCTATTACTCTGTAATGAAACTCTCAACAAGTTTGAGGGAAATATTTCAGAAAAATCAAATTCCGATGTCATATCAAGTGCTATTCGTTGTCACGATGGATTTCTCTCTGGTGATATTCCTAATGAATGTAAAAATATGTTCCGAATGGATAGAATTATAGCCACATTTCTGATGTTGTATCAGATGTTGAATATTCTCTAAACCAATGTGTGCTCAGTAGAATCTCTAGTCAGTGGTATGGTGAATCAGCGGGAATATTAAGTTTTTCTGAAGAAGTCAGAGAACCAGTTTACCCAGATATCAAATTTGCACAGACAGAGAATCCAAATCAAGTCCGATATTGTCGTAATGAGTATGAGGCAGATGAATGTTTTCCATTCGATTGTTTCGCTGTTGAATAAAGCTCAGATGAATCACATGTGTTAATCACACATATCAATGCATATTTACCTGTGCATTGTAATATGAATAACCAAAAAGTTTATGTATCATAATTCTTATGCAAGTCGAAGTCACATGATGGAATACCTCAAATTATATACCACTGTGTATCATCAAATACTCGCATATAATAATCAAAGTGTAACATATAAAAAAATAATACAAATTAGGAACGTCAAATCGGTTATAACATTGCAGCGCAAGGACCCAACATTATTTCATGGGGGAGGATAGTGTTGGAAAGTCTATGATGCAAATTCTAGATATCAGTGGTTTCACTACACATTCGACATAATAATTGTATACAATTCCAGGAATCGGATCGTATATAGTCCATATCTATTACTCAATTGGGCAGACACTTGATGAACCTAAAGTGAAGTGGTACGATTGGTAGCAGAAATCTGGATCCTCATATAAGTCGTGGCGATGTGGTCTTATATGAACCAATGATTCCTTTGTATTTATGATTGCTTGATTTGGAATTCCAAATATAATACATTCGCTAGTGTTCATCTAATAATTCTTGATTAAATTGCATTGTTTCTATAAAATCCAAACCACGTTCGGGTGAAGAATAACTGTCCATGGAATAAATGTATTTACTCGCTGCCCAATCGAAATCAGAACAAAGTGATTGGTAACTTCGGTTCTAAAATTCATCATATATACAAATGTACAATTTTACCTAAACAAATATTACCACTCAGTTATTCAACCAACAATAATCAATCTAAATTACTTTAATAGCAAATTGATAAGAAATATAAGAAAATTACCGAACGATCCAAAAAGTAAGTGTTATTCTATCCTTTCTGGATAGATCAAGTAAAAAATCCACCTAATGAGATTCTTTATAACACAAAGTGTTTCAAATTCTGGGAATGTGCTCCAATTTACAACGAAAATACATGATCCCACTCAAGTCTAGCAGCACAATCAAAGAGGGAACAATCAATACGGCAGCCGCCAGGATAAAGTATCAATTAAAACAACATAGATACAGTTCAAGAAGAAACATAGAAACCCGGTGAAGGCAACAGTAAAATTGAGAAAACTATTATGAGATAAAAAATTATAATCTCAAATGGCGTCAAAAAGATTAACAATAATGTACAAATAAAGAAACCATTAAGAAGAAGTTGAAAATTTATACATGGAGGGATTTTCACACAGGAAACCTTCAAAATGGATCTTACAGTTTCTGAGATTATTAGTTTATGCCATAATTCGTATATTTTTAAACATCACAAAAAGCGACAGAACTAACAGAAAAATGGAGTTGAAAAACTGATATTTTTGCGACGGGAGAGGTTAATGTATGTCCTTTTGGAGGTCGAACTTAAACTGATCAATGAAGGAACTTCAGATATACCATAGGAAGTGAACACAGCTTGTGAAGAGTTGCAACGAGAAGACAGGCCTTAGTTAATGGAAGGAAGTTTGAAGCATAGGGCGGAATAAATGTCTGGTAAAATGTTTAAATTCCTAGACAGCTTTATCACCATAGCCTTTGCTTAATGATCGCTCTTTTTAAATAATGTTATCAAATGCAAATCGTCACGTCTGAGCATAAGCACTTGAAAATGCATGTATAAGGATGGCTTGGTAAAAGAGTGAAACCAACTTAATGTGGAAAACACCAGTTTAAGAGGCAGAAAACATGGAAGTATGACAACAACGTCATTGCATGTCCCAATTGCTGGACAAAAGTGGTTCTGCATTGCTTTTCGTTGATTTGTTATGATTTAGTAATTGGTACCAGTTAACCTAATCGTATTTCATTTTCAACTTGAACGCTGATACTCCAGCCGTGACATTAATCAAAACGATAAACACAACTGCACATACATGCATCTCAACATACAATGAGTAGTCAGTGGTTGGTTTCTACTTCGTGGTGTTTACGAGAACTAACGTCATGCGATAGTGGTCTACAGTCAGCTTAGTTATGCCAAATCTTTTCCAGAGGGACGTTAATCAACGTCGTTGATCTTCAATATTTACCAGTCACTCAGCTTCGGTATAAACACACGTCATGAGGATTCCTCCACAATCTTGTGTATCACGGTTTGTTTATTTTTTACATTCATATACCAATTCTCTTCTTAACTTGTTGCTCAATATACGACGGTATACTAGAATACTTATCATCCTCGAAGTTCTTCTCACCTCAACAGCATGGTTTCAGAGAAGGTCATTCTTGAATGACCAACCTGCTGACTGCGGTGGATAGATGGACAACCATCCTTGATCGCAAGGGTAAGGTTGACTTCATTTACCTGGACTTCTCAAAAGCTTTTGATAGGGTCAACCACGTATGTCTTATCAAGAGGCTTAGACGATTGGGTATAAAACCCCCTTTGATTGATTGGCCCTCTTCATATTTAGAAAACCGACACTTTAAGGTCAGGGTTAACCCCACTCTCTCTCAGGCTATGGAATGTCCTAGTGGGGTCCCCCAGGGCTCAATACTAGGACCTCTTCTCTTCTTGATTTACATTAACGATCTTCCTCAACAAGTTTCATCTGACTTATTGCTTTTTGATGGTGATGTGAAACTTTGGATCTTCAGGAGGATCTGACCCGACTTCAAAGTTGGGCAGACGACAACGGACTTACCTTCAACACTTCAAAGTGCAAAGTAGTCCATCTGAGACATGTTGCAGACTATAGTTATAACTTAGGTAACTACCCTCTAGAAGTTTCCGAAGTTGAAAAAGATTTAGGAATGTTGGTACACTACGACCAGAAATCATATACGAACTGTGACAAAAACGCCTCTCAAGCAAACCTTGCACTGGTAACATTGAAGCGCATTTTTGGCCAGTTTGACGGTAGAACCTTCCATATAATCTTCAACAGTTTTATTCGTCCCCATTTAGAGTACGGAAACATAGTATTTCCTCCCTCCCTCCAAAAGAATAAGGACACTTTGGAACGTATACAACATCGAGCCACGAAATCAGTTCGGGAACTCAAATTCAAACCTTATGAAGAGCGCCTCCAATCACTTAACCTTTACCCGTTAGAGTACAGTCGTCTTAGAGGTGACCTTCTTATGACTTACAGTATCCTTAATACTTCTGGTCATCCCCTTAAACATCTTCTCAAGCTTAGTCATAACACTAACCTCAGAGGTAACACCCAGAAATTGAAGATCCTACATAGCAGAACAGACTGCAGACACAACTTCTACTCCGTTAGAGTTGTCAAGTGCTGGAATTCGCTGCCGACTGAGCTAGTCCAAGCGACCTCCCACGAGTCCTTTAAGAGGAAACTTGACTTATTCTTAAGGACTAAGGATAACATATTATTATGATTTACCAAATTCTTTTTTCCTCTATTATCGTTCATATGCCTAGGTTTTTGCCTGGAGGTATTGGTGATCCACTGCTACTAGACACGGAAGCCCGTTAACAGAAAGCTTCTTCTATTCCCTCCTCAACCATTTGAACTATTTGAACCATCACCAAAAAAGGATAACAAATACATCATTTTTCACATTCAGTCACAAGTATTTAAGCCAATATTTTTTAGAGGAATACGGTGTTTAAATGAAACACTCTATAAATACTTTATGGTTCACCAGACTCTTCATTTCAGTTGCTAAAATTAATATTGTATGTTGTATGGCCTTCTGCGCTAATTAAATTACACTCAACCAAAATGGGGAAAGTAATGTCATCGGCCCGTCGATTTATATTAAATTTTAACGTCGAAGACAGAGCTATGAAACATCTGGAGGTGAACAAAAATGTTTTCAAAGCTCCTCCTAAGCATCCGGGAACCATTACAATAGTAGACGAACGATATGAGAAACTATCAGCTCATAATCCAGAATTGGATAAAAATATTAACTCTTTAGGGATAGTAGCAAAGTCCTTAAATAAAGGCATATTACCCGAAGGCATGGAATACGTTAGCAAAACAACGCGCAAGCTTCCGCAGGTTTGTACTTTAATAGTATAATTATATTAGACGTTAGAAGTATGATGGTATCTCCCCTTATCCTCCACCCAGTGAAGACTTTGGTTTCATTGTTCCAGAGTCAGTTCCAGAAGGAAGACTAACAATGCGTCAAGCCATCAAACTTATATCGACTCACCAGAAAAACGTTACAGATGTTGGTAGTTTAAGTGAATCGTTTAGCCTTGACAAAGAGAAAGTAAACACCTTCACCATAATATATTTTATAGACTAAACAAATCCTTGACTATTTTTCTCTGTTTGAAGTCCCCGCTAAAGGTATTTGGACCCCTCCTTCGCAACAGTCCGAACAGAAGTTGTTAGACGAGGCTGTATCGGACGAGCAAAATGACCTGGAGAATTTGGGAGGAAATGAATATATTCAGAGAAAGACAGTGTTAAAGCAGTTGAATACAAAATAACTGAACCGCTTTTTTCCCTATAAATAAATAGTGAATACATACTTTCGTGCTGACTTTCACTACCATTTATGCTTATAAACCTTTTGTTTCTTCACAGGAATGCTTGCTCTAAAATCTTATTATCGTATTTATCGGCTTTTTGGTGTACCTCGTTTTCTTACACCTATTTCTCATTCGTGTGCTGTCAAACTATCATGGTTACCTGAAGATCTTAGAGAACATTTCGATGCTTTCAAGAAAAATATAATATCCGAGTATGAAAACGTCACTAAACTCATAACATCTGGGGCAAAAGAATGTGACCTGTAAGTTAAGAAATAAGTCACTCTAAAAGTCTGATCAGTTGTATGAAACTGTGACTGTTAATTAGACGTTTTGTTGTTTTTCAATGCAGATAATTAGCCGTCATCAAGTCGCCGATACTAACACCACTAAACAGTGTTTAGGTAACTGCTTAGGTCCTATATCTTATCAGTGAGCGGATGTGGTCTGAAAACAACTAACTGTAGTGTTTTAACTGGTTGGAAAACATTACTTATCGGATTATGTTGTTTAAAATGAAGTTAGTATAGTTTGTGTACACGATTTTTCAAGTCATCTATATCAGTCAGTCCTGCACTTGCTACATTATTTTAGTTAATTTAAAACCAAGATGTTGAGAAGACGTGATGTCAATCATTGAATTTGTGAATCGTTAGTTTGTTTCTTACAAAAGATGAAAGCTCTTCAGTCTTATGAGTTAGAATGAAGAACGCCTCAATAGTGTATTTGTTTCTTTACTTTGCTGAAAGTTCATAAGATTAATATCTCTCGTCGATTTCGTAATTTATCCTCTATATTCGTCTTCATATGGTTTTATTCCTCGATTGAAACAACCCAGCAAACAGTTATGTCAGCTTACTTACATCAATACTCGTGAAATTGAAAGTTTTATCTGGCAAATTCTATTCACGAGGATTGTCTATGACTTCTATAATGAATTATCTTTGACTCACTTTTTAACCTTTTAAGGATACATCTATTGGTTGAAACCCCACTAACCAACAACCGTACTTTTAGAAAATAAGCCTACGATATTATAAACTCATATTTGAGTCATTCCAAATGTTAGGTATACGAATTTCCCATTTGAGTCTTACTAAGTGTATATTACTGGGGTTTAGATTATTTGTGATGTGAAGATAACTGACGTAATTTACCAGTTCAAAATAACTCATCTATTACTGTTTTATTCATCGCATTCCTACTTCCAACTTATCATTCTGGCCCTTTTTTATTTTTAATACTATTACTACTGTTTCCACCACAATTAATCTTTACTGTTTTCATTTCTGACCGTAATACTTTAACTAAAGGGAACTTCGAGTGGTTTACTGAACCACATGATGAATATTTTACTTAGTGCTATGCTTTCTTCAATTCATAACATGGAAACTTGATCTGGATGTCAGTTAACACGATTTTAGTTCCAAACTTAGCTACACTTAGTTGAATATAAAATAATGAATTGGTTATAGCATAGGTTTACCTACAAGAAAATACAGTGTATTTTGTACACTACTGGTATAAAATAAACATATAAGGTGTTAATGCGGGTAGAAAGTAACTTTCTTTTCTGACTTCAAACATTTTAACCGCTTTGTAGGTATAAGGTTCCGTCGTTCAATTAGCATCAGTAAATCCACTTTTTTTAACTAGTCATAATATACTTATTATTGTTGACCATTCATTAAGTATATCAGATATAATATTCTCCTATGGTTCTTATCAAAATTAAATAGCTTGAAAAAACTAAAGTGCAGATAACGCCAAACAACAGTTTATAATTTGTAACTTCGTAACAATCTAACTTGCCTCACAAACTGTAACCTACAGCCCTCGTATTCATCATCAAAGAAATCACGGTTAGCCCACTGGTTTAAAATCTATAGGTCTATGTTTACCATTCCTAATTAGTTTGTGTTTTCAGGTAATGTTCAAGGTGGTTACTGCTTAAGAAGTCACGAAAGTAATGTAAAAACCCTTTGATAGTCTCTTATTTTCATAAGTTCATCGAGTAATATAATTGTCCGAGTCAATAGGTTCATCATACATAATATTTTCTATATGTTTCCATGTTGATGATTGTACACGTAACTTGCATTAATCTTTTTTCAGTCTTCCTTTATCTGAATGTTGGAAGAATTTGAGACCAATAGTAGATGTGATTGAAGAATTGGATATATTACTTGAAGCTGATAAAGAAGTAGACCAATTAGTAACAGGTGATGCATCGTTCTGTTTTTTTTTCATGAATCATCTCATAAAATAGAATATCACAATATTTTGGTACCAACACATTCATATTCTAAGTTTTTTCAGACACCTGGTTGGTATTACTAACCTTCACTCCTGAAGTGTGTTTCTTGCTCAAGTACTTTGTGGATAAACTAATTAAATTAACTTTAAAATTGGTCAGTCAGGAATTATTCCAGTGTTTTCCTGTTCATGAAATTTGGTATACTAACAATGCACAAAGTAGGGGCTTTATTACAATACCGTCAGTCTTCATGTGCCCTTAATATCGTTTATGTATAATTCATTGGATAAAAATCTGATTGTTCAGAATCATTTGAATTTGAACTAGAAAGGTTATTTACTAATCATCGTGACTAATACTGAAGCATTTATGTTGACTGTCTGCTTATGTTATCGTTAGTATTAGCGATTCTTTAAGGCATCGCACTGAAGAATAGATACATTGAAACAAGCACTAAAACCCCATACCTCTTATCGATTTAAATGGAAAAGTCAAACACAAAACAGCGTGAACGTAGCTTGTGATTTTACTAAAATGATTTCTACAACAATAATCCTATTGATATTAAAGCTTGTTTCTTATTCAACTTAGTCATGGACATCCTTTTTGAGATAACACTCCTCGCCTGATGTTTCAGAAATCTATCTTTTACTATGGAGTCTTCTTATTTACTTAGAAAACTCAGATGGTATTGTTCTGTTTGGTGACGACGCTGACAAGATAAAGTCTTATGACTGAAGCAATGTAAACGTATTTAGGATCCATTCTTCTCTATCAAAATGTATAATTTTGCTTCATGACTAATCTGCGTCAACTCTTGAACTAAGGGTCAGGAGTGATATGGTTGAGTGTATTGACCAATTCATCTCATTTTGGAAGTCTCATCAGCCCTAATGGGTTGGTTTTTTGTGAAATATCGGCATAAATCTTCAAAGTTCGGTTGGTTTTTGTCAACCTGAGTCAATCGTGGCGTAGGCGAGATATCCGCTCGTCAACTGAAGAGTGATTTGATTGTGGAAAAGCTCGATCTACTCTACTTTATGAGTGTAAAACGTAGCCTTTGAAAATGAATAAGTGCAGACTTTGTGGTTGGAGTCCGCGAGATTATCATGACCAGTGATTTGAAACTGGATAAAATGGCTCAAAATCGTTCGCAATGCGCAAATGTATTCTATTTTCTTATAGATCCCAATTTTATAAACTTCCCATAATTTTATTTTACTAATTCATATTTTCTCGAGTTATATAGTCTATGCTTAGTCTTTTCTATTGCCTCTGATACTGTCACTACCTCTACTACTCTGGGGTTTGCCCTGACAATCTCATCTCTTCGTACTAATGGGGTATGGCAACTTAAACCGATGTATGTAGGTCCCACGTGTTCCGTTGCTTTTGACTGACTGGTCGACTAAAAGCCTCTTATCTAGTTAAGGATTTCGTTGAGAAAAGTAAAGGAATTGTTTCTCTAACCGTATGGATATCTTTTTATGTATCATAACCGCTTTTCTCCTTATTCAATATTTATTGAAACCAATAATTAGAAATTGTCGGTACTGATACTGAGGATGATGTCAATGATTTAAAAGCGATTGCTGAGTTGGAACGTAAACAAAGAAATGTTCAGCGTGAAGCGTTGGAAAAAAAGGTATCACATTATTTCACTCCTTAATGTAGAAAAATATTAAGTGTTTCATTGGTTCATTTGTTGTAATATTATTCGTCATATGGTATTCGCGTCACAAAGTTACTGTAGCTAAACAACCATTGAAAACCAGGAAAAGCTGGGCGGCTATTTCTTCTTACTATGAGACTCTCCAATAGTGCACATGTACGACCCTTGATGGGATCGAGTTTTGTACCCTCTGGCATTGCGGCGACTGTTCGTGGTTCATACAGCTGAATAGGAATCCAATGGTTTACATTTCTCACTCCAATAATTTCACGATATCACACGTCCAATGCTTCCCAATTTTCGCCAGTTATCTAAATATAGTCAGTCTATCATGTAGACGATAAAATTCAACAATTTCAATTCACCTATTGTACTCATATAATATTTAACTATTATTTATCGGTTATATTTATCCTTTTTCTTCATATTTGTGTGTCACTTCGTGATTCTAATTTCATATTTCTTCGGGCATATTAATCTATTCTGTCGGGATCACATAGTATTTTCACAATATAACACTGATAAGATCTGTGTTTGTAATTAGCTGATCACCACTTATATCTAGTTGGACATTCCAGTTCTGTCTTAACCCAATTCCATAAATTTCATCACAAATCTGAAAATAGATGTGCATGTAAAAGACTTCTAACCTTAATATTCGCTCTAATAAAATCAAATGTGAGAAAAAAAAGTCACAGCCTTTATAATATTTCACCAGAATTATTATTCGATATTATCAATATTAAGACCTTACATTCAGTATGTTTGACTGGATTCAAAGTGAAGTTAATCTTTTTGTTGAACAATCAAGAGTAACCGATTTAATAAGTGTTATATTTTATTGTCAAAGACTTATTCATTAGGTTACATATCTCAGAAAGAAAATATCTGATTTAATTTGTATTTTTAGAGTATCATAAAATTAGTATTGTATAGGACTAAGCATCCTGATTATAATTCGGATGTAAAAATCAACTTTGATTTATTGAGAAAAATGCTTTTGTATCAAGACTAATCCTACGTCGAATAAAGTTAGTCCTAACTGTTTTCCCGTAATTCGTATCGTAGTACTTGAAGGATGATCAACTGTCTTATCCACTTTACGTAGTGTGTAGTCTTCATAAATGTTGCTGGTAAGGATGACTTTTATAACATTAAAAGCACAAAATAAGTACATTGGACTTAATTTTATTAACGGACTTAAGTAATTCTATTTATGAATCATAAAACATTAAGGCGAGACTAAAAGAAAATAGACCCTGAAATCCTAAAAGGTTGAATTGTGTCTCAACACGTGTTGACCACTGACAACCAGTTGGATGCAACTGTTGTAATCCTTTGATTGTCCTCTGGATGATGGTGGACATTTGCGACTTTATTTGTATCTTTACAGTTTTATTGTCTTTAGAGCTTAAACTTTTACTTAACATGTTAACGATATTATTCTACGTGTAGTATTTATTTGTATATTCTGAAGCAATAATCAGATACAGCGATGCTCATGTATTAGTGGTCGTTTTATTCCTTAATTTTGCGCTTAAGAAACTTTAAATTTTAATAGACAATTGAAATGTTTTAAAAGTTGTTGGGCTTGAGCCTATAAAAATGCAGCATTTAATAATAATCAATGAACAGCACATTATGATTTCTTAGCAACTTGTTAACAGTTGAATTTAAGTTACAAATCTAACTTTTTAGCTCCTTAGTTTGCTACTTCCAATTGATGAACGTGATCTTAATTCATCTGTAATAATGGAACTATTCGCTGGGGCTGGCGGTAAGGAAGCTGGTTTATTTGCTCATGATTTAATGAATATGTATCATGCTTTTGCCATACAACAAAATTGGTCATTTACTGTTTTACACAAAACTGTAATGTCAAATGAAGAATGTGCTCCATCCCATAATGAAACTTCACTTTCGTATGTTCGTGTTGAAATTGAAGGTGAACCAACTACAGAAGCCGGTGTAATGTCACTTGGTGCTTATGGTCAGTTAAAATGGGAGGCTGGCGTTCACCGTGTTCAACGTGTTCCTGTTACTAGTAGTCAGAATAAGATTCATACTAGTACAGTAGCAGTATCGATACAACCTAAGTATGACGATGTAAGTATTTTAAAACGAAAGACTTTATATTCTCCGATTTCACTTGTTGATTATCGCGTATTTAAATCTATGAGCTGGTTTCATTTTAAATAATAATAATAACTTGGTTTAATACTGATGTAAAACGAAGTTCCGTTTTCGGTGCTGTGATCCTAATTAGCTTGAGTAGGGACCATAGGAATCCTATCTGCCACATTCTTCCATGAAATAATATGATCACTTCTTACTATATTATGCCGGCTGGAATACACAAAAGCATAATGTCAAAATTTCATCTCCGTTCTCAAAATAAACAACCGAATGATGGACCTCACTAAGCCAAGTGCATGTGTCCCCTGCCTAGTTATTTATGAAGATAGATTAAATGATACTACACCTCATCCATGCTTCTGTGTTTACTTCTGCAAACGTAAATTTGACTTGAAAAATCAAAACAGGAAATACCAACGAATTTCAGGGAGCTTTAAACTTAGCTATCTCTAAGAGTGTAGACACAGACCTAATCCACTTCTCAATAGTGTGAAGTTCATGTACGTGTTGGCGAAGTTATTCATGTATACTGACTAATCACTTAGTATTTGACCACTGTCATGTTTATATCATTATTATTAGAGGTTTTCTTCATCACATTATTGACAATCAGGACTAGATTTTTATCAGTCTTCGTCGACATACATGGACCCTGTGCGGATCGTTCCAATAGTTTCATTATGACACACTACTTTGAATAAATGTATTATGCCTAGCAGGACTCTCATTTCATCCTGTTTGGTACTCTTTATGTTTGACTAGTCTTTAGTGGTGGTTACACCCTACCGACCTCATAGAAGATCAGTCAATACGACACCGTCTCTGACTGATGCTCTTGTTGATACTGGTTCGAATTTACCAGGAAACATCAGTCCCCTCAACATGAGAGATGGGCATTGCCAGAGAGTACCAGCTAACATTAAACTTAGGTTCCATGTGTTATATTCTACCGCCAATCAATACACACAGACGAAATTAAACAATCAATACGCAGCAAGAATGAAGATTGATACTTTATGCTTGACGGTTGGAGCTATACTATCTCCGAACGAAGGGGAAGAACATAAGACCAATAATCACCAATCAAAGATCGTTATTACATCTCGGGCGTTCGCTCATGTACATGCAGGACCAGACCACGCAGCAGAGCAATTGAGTGACAGTATTAACACGGAACAGCAACATTAATGATGAGAAAGACAGAGTACTGTGTACATAAATAATCGGTTATAATTTATGACTGGAAAATGCTCTAAAAGCAATTTACGATTCAGATAAAAGCTTGGAACTGGGGTAATAAAGGTTTTACTTGTAGAGGAACTTGATCGCTCTTCTTGTAAGTATGCAGTACAACTGAAAATAACGTGGTAACTATTTGAAATATGTTGAAGTGGTGTAATAGTGTTGCGCTTTGAAAAAACAAAACACATCGAAAAAAATCAGTAGGATAGATTTTCATCAGAATTATATAAAAGACATGAGATTTACGTAACCAATGAACTGAAAAATTAAATGTTGAGTTGTTTCGCATTCAAAGTTTGAAGAAAAGGTTTATATCTACCCCACTCTGAGCTATTTTACCTCAGTAGACGTGAAATGACAGTGATACAATTCCCTGTCTAAATTTTCTCGTCAGTTATTGGCTTCACAGAGTGGAACATCTTGCCTCTGTTCTGCACCTTTTTTCTAAGTCTGTCCCAGTTTTGTATTGAATATAACTTGTAAACATTTATACAAGCGACATTTTGCGCATTTCTCACTCGATCTAAGTTCACAGTTTAAATCAATCAGTATCTTTTTCTTAAGGTTCTTTCTTTACTCATCGCACTGCTTATTTGTTAATAATGCCATTCAAGAAGGATTTTCGAGAAATTCTTATAACTGTGCGGATCCACATTTCACCTAAAGATTCGTACCTTTACTAATACTCCAGATGGGATTTAATGCAGTTTTAAATAAAAAAGATTGGTTCAGCGAAGAGTTCTCTTTTCGGCGAATTCATTTCCAAAGCTGTACAGTCGCAAATATATATGCTTATTTTTTCAGGATGATAGTAATTACAGTAGTAATAATAATAAACTTTTGTTAGACATTGTGACAGATAGAATAAACAAAGGTGTTAAGATATTTTTTCCATAAACAGGGAAACTAATAACCGTTTGATTGTTAATGGCTCAAATATTCATCAAAAGATAGATAGGGATATTATCATCAGGAAATGATCGCTTAGCATGGTAAAATGAAATGCTGAAATCGAGATTAAATGTAATCAGGCGGATCATAGAAACAGAAATAAACCAGTTGGGGGTAGAAGATTTAAGAGAAGATGGAAGGGGAAGCAGATGGCTGTAAAGGAAGAAGAGTATGAAGAAGAAAAAATTTATCAGACATCAACACCAGGGTATAAGAAGAAGTTGTACCAATCTCTTCTGGACATACAATTCTGGTCTTCCCAGATGTATGGCTAGTGCTTCGGCAATGCTAAGAAGATGCAATATAATTGTCTTTGGAAGACTTCTACTTACCATGTAGATGGATTTAAACTCAGAGTCTGTCTTGATTGAGTGACCTGTGTTCACAAGGTGTTTGATTATTGAACTTCTTATTGAGACGTTTCCTCCTCTTCTCAGCCACTCCGGATAATGTTCTTGAGATAGTTTATCTTTAAGATTATCGGTGAACAATGACCAACTGGAGATTATTCGCAACGTTGCTGCAAAGAACGTTCTTTTCAAAGAATCAGAAATTCTCCCCTTAAAGTCGGTGTTCATGTATAATGTTTTCTTTTCGACTGAAGTTGTTTGTGTTGTCGGCGGTTTCGGTTTTATGTTCTTATCAATGAATAATGAAGGATACCCGTTTTTGACAAGTATCTTCTCCAAGAGGTTCAGTTCGTCATCTATGACCTTGGGACTACAAATCCTATGTGTTAGCGTAGCGGGTGATATTATTAAGTTTCTCTTTCGACTAATGGAGACCCAGCTATAAGAACTGATAGTTGGCCATTCCACATGGGTTTCTTGTAAATAGATCCTCTTACAGTTCCGTCTTGTTTTCTTGTCATTTCCACATCAAGAAAGCGAATATTTTGTTTGTTTTCAACTTTAAACTATCTTAGTGTAGTTGAATCTTTTTTATGGATAGTAATGTCCATCATATTTTTCTCGAAAGGTTGATGTAGATATTCCTGATAGTGACTTAAAATGGGAATTCCATCGCCCAACAGGTCCTGGCGGTCAAAATGTGAACAAGTCGACTAGTGCAGTTCGCCTGACACATTTGCCAACTGGTATAGTCATTTCATGTCAACGTGAACGTTATCAACATGTAAACAAAATTCTTGCATTAGACATGCTCAAAGAAAGGTTAGTTTGTTTAATAAAAACGTATCTCATAGTTTACATCATGAATTGATTTTGATGAGACAACCATTAAAAACAAAAAAGCACTGGATAGCTATTTCGTCCTAGTATGGGGCTTTTTAGTAGAATACATATACAACCGTACTTGAATTTGAACCCCGAGCCCCCAGGTCTTGCAGCGAACACTTCACCTTTAGACCACTGAGCCAACATGTAATGGTTTACATGTCTAACTCCAATAAATCCGCGATATTACGGCCTCAAACCTGATACAATGGAATTTCTTAGCGGGACGAAATAGCTATCTAGTGCTTCTTGTTTTTTATTCGTTGTGTAAATAAAATCAATTTGTAACATCAACTATAAAATGACTTCTTATTTATTCAATATAAATAAAGAAATAACAAATCATTTGTGATATATATACTTCTTATTTCATTGTGATTAGTAGCTCTTATTTATTTATTAAACACATAAATATTGGTACGAAGGAGCACCAGATATATATGCGTCACACAAATCTCGTTTGATTTGTGTGAGGGCTGCGATACTGCCCGGGTGCCCAAACCGAAGCAGGTGATTTTCTTAGGGGGCCACATTCGGAGCCTTTGACCTAAAGATCTGATCCACAAGGCAGTGGAGCATCTTAAGGAGATGTAATTTCCTATTTTCATGGTTAAATATCTTTTATCGAGTTCAGTCAGCTGAAATTTCATCTACTTTTGTTAAAAAATAAAAACTGGGGAAGATGTTTATTTGTTGTTGAGTCTGATAGCGATTATAATAATATAACATCATAAAATTTATGATTATTACACCCAAGACTAATTATAAATAATCCTAACATTACTTCTCAGTTACTTTGCCTAAAAAGCATTTTCATTACTTGTGTTACACTCGTTTGGTTTTTTATGTTTTGAACAACACACATACTCCAATTTATGAGGATCCAACTGTTTTTCAGTTGACACTATTAATTCATTCTTTCGTATTAGCTTTCAATCACCATAACCATCTCTTTTTATGTTTGTGTCTAGTATCTGTATTGATTTAATCGTACTGATCATTTTGAACGACCCTAAACTACACGTATATGTTATGCGATCGAATGTTTCTACTCACAATCGACAGTTCAATACTGTTTACAGACTCTAATAATTCAAATAGGATAGCTTTAATAAATTTTCTTGTTTACTAATGAATAAACATATTTCTCTCAGTTATAGAAAGAAAAACAATTTGGGGAAAATGTTTCATCTTAAGCTTAATAATTACTAAATTCAACCTAGTATTGTTTGTTTGAATCTTCCCATCGATTTGTTAGGACTGCAACTGGTCAGTCTCTAATTGGCATATGTGCATACTGTGCGTATTGCCTCGATATACCTTAATTCACAAGCATGGTTAGCAGAGATGGATAGTGGCTAGCAGTGGAATCCAGGACGCGCGTTTCGTCCTATTTGGGACTCGTCAGCTGGATGTACCTGCATCTCAGAGTTGATGTTCACTCTGGGACTCGAACCCAGTACCCTCGCTTCAAACGCCATCGCACAAGCAAGTGGCTATCAGGACTCAGTGGCCGAGTGGATAACGCGATGGCGTTTGAAGCGAGGGTACTGGGTTCGAGTCCCAGAGTGAACACCAACTCTGAGATGCAGGTACATCCAGCTGACGAGTCCCAAATAGGACGAAACGCGCGTCCTGGATTCCACTGCTAGCCACTATCCATCTCTGCTAACCATGCTTAATAATTACTGTTTATCATAATATACTAAGATTATTACACTGACATTCAGGGATTGATTATAGACCTCAGTATACTGCCCATCTATTCTGCTTCTACTACAACTTATATAACATGTGTAAATGGTTCTTAACAGATATATGTAGTCTATGTACCATTCACTGCATTCTACTTACCTAATTTTCTACACCCGGTTTTAGAATTATTTATTTCGTTGCCTCACTTCAATTTGATCATGTTTTGAAGGAAATAGTTATTAGAATTCCTTATTATTAGGTCTCATACAATACGTTTATATTGACATGCAATCTGCGCTTGATTACACAGTTCAGTAAATATTATTATTACCAACATCGTACTACTTATCTCGTGGTGGTCATGGGCTATATTGTTTTAGTGATTTTATAGTTGAATTCATGATTCGATTAAAGATAGACCACTATGTAAAACCTGGAAGCACTAATTTACATGTTCACGAATAATTTCTTTGACGCCTAATCTTTTCAATCACCACTGTTACTGTCACTACCTCTACTATTCTGGGATTTTCCTTGACAATTTCATCTCTCTGTGCTAATAGGCATGAAAACTTGGACCAATGTACTTAAGTACAGGTTTCACGTTGTGGCTGATTGACTACGTAGTATCACTAGCCCTCTTATGAATAGTTCGATTTCAAACAGTATACAGATTTGTACTTCGTGTATTAGTATCATTATTATATCTTATTAAGTAATTTTAGGCAAGTATTTCTGGAGTAAACCCAATGAAATAATCTCCGTTATTCCTTTTTTTTCAGATATACCTTTCTTGTTAACCATTTCTCTTATCTAGCCTTATTAAGGGAACGCACCATAATAGATAGATGAATCTTTATAAAAACGACCATGAATATATGGTTGGGAAAATCTTTTCCGGTTTCTGATCTTTTTCAGTATAATCTGTTGTGATTGTTATTAGTGTTACTGTGAATATAAAATCAAAGGCAAACTTCTGTTTTGAAGTAACTGATGTTGATGATGATGCTCAAGAGTGAACAATGTAAATTCATCTGATGCAATAACATCAAAAGTATTTGCCTCAATTGGAAATCTCTTTGATCATTATATACTCATTTGCCGTTGTTGTTTGAATGGTTAGGAGGTAATTTTTTCTCATTTGAGAACTTTGTTTCATAATCACCGTTGAAACAGAACAGTATGAGTCAGTTTTACTTCATTTCATTTGTATTGTTTTGTCTTTCTCATTTTAAAGGCTTCGTGAAATTCATTTGAAATCACAATCTCACTTAATTGATTCCATCCGTCGATCTCATTTGGGAAATCTGGATAGATCAGAAAAAATTCGAACTTACAATTTTCCACAAGATCGTGTAACAGATCATCGGTTAAATCACTCTTGGAACAATTTATATCGATTTATGAAACAAGCTGTTGGATTAAGTGAAGTAATAGAAAGTTTGTACAAACAAGATCAACGAGAACAATTAAAACGAAAGTTATGTACAGGGAACATAAAAAGTTGATTGTGATAAATATTTAGTTTTTATTTTCTCAAATAATACATAGATAAAATAAACCATATTGCATTCATTTTCTTTTACGCGATTATTTGAACCATAATGCTTGAAGATTGCTTGCTTAGAATAAGAATTTTAGTGTAATTGAGTGAAGCTAGTGAGAAAGAATTCCCAAACTTGTGTTTCATGATAATTACCATCCATAACCAAGGTGTATAGCTTGAGGGAATTGATACCTCCTATAGAATTCTTTCCTGTGTCATTGAGAGTTACTGTCATAAATATTACCACTGTGATGTTCAAACCAAGATTAATTTTTGACTCTGGATACGAACTTAGGTTCTTGGCTTTTTGTCGATTACTTTCAACTATCAAACAGAACGTGAAACTATATTTATTCACACGAACTTGTCGGATTACAAACTCGGTCAACATCAATTAATCAGCATATAACTTTGATCACTACTTAGTAATCGATCGTTTCAAACATGGAATTTATCTTCAGGTAAATTTAAGACCACTAAAGTGTACTTCACATTTTATAATCTAAAAGTTGAGTTAGGCAGTGTGTTCTAGTCTCACCGTTCTTCGGTATATTTTCCATTTGTACTCCTAAGCATGAATGCAGTTGTTTTCTAGAACTGAAAAATCTCATCTTAAACCCCTGAAAGGCAGGAGGCATGTGAGAATGCCTATTTCTAAGGTCAGTTCACTTATTGGAAACGGTCATTTAGGGAAAAATATTTAGCCTTGGCTCCTTCAAAACGTGGTATACTTGGTGACTGTCCGACTGGATAATTACAAGACAGTACTTCGTCTACTATCAAAAGTTTCCAAACGATGCTGACTGGTCAAAGTATTCTTCCAACATATATAAAATCTTCCGAGGAATTATGAAGGACCTCTGACACTTCAAGTTGCTACTTTTTAACATTCTGGAAAGGACTTACGGATTGTGATGTTAATTACGTTCTACTACCTAGAGAATGACTTTAATACTGATACCGTAGGTGACATTGTCTTTGTATGTGTTAGTACACAGACCATCTTAAAACTATTCATTTTGCAATGAATTTACGTAATGTGGCATTTGCTTTGGAACTTCAAAAGTGTACTTGTCAACCTTTCCGCTTCGGAAAGGAATATGTTTGGCGATTTTTTTGTTTATTCATCGTTGACCTCGGAAATTGGTGATGATCGGGGGCAACATTATTTTAAGAGTGCTGCAGTTCAGCAATGCATGTTCAGACCTAGTAATATTGATTGGATTAATGTTACCATCTGGGGACATCAACTTTGGGGACTTGGTCATATTTCAAAGCTGTGATGTTGGAGCATTACTTACTGACTTTGGATTAAGTAAAAACAGAGTTGAAGTGAATAGTTTACGAATCGCAGCTATGATATGAAGGGCTGAATAGTAGTACTTTCCAAGTTGATCAGTCATAACATTTTGACTACGGTCCTAATGATGATGTTGTGGTGTATGCTACTTATGTTGACACATGTAGTATGTAAAGCCAGTCAGAAGTCGAATACTTGGCAGCGATGATCATTTCATGTGCTCCGTGATGTCGAAGGAAATTTAACAAGTTTTGTCTACGGACTTTGACGAATGCGACCATGGAGGTTGATCTAAAACAATGGATCTCGTGCACTAGATTGACCAGTATTGAGCCACAGTGCTACGTCGTGATCATTACATGATCAGTCCTTAGGCGAGCCAAGTTGTTGGTAAGCAGTTCTAGCGTCCATTGTATCTTGTGTGCATTTCAGCAGCACTGTCGTAAACTTTGTCTGAGGCTGAAAACAGTTTGTTGTTTCTGCGGTTTTTTCACTCGCTTTTATTTTCGTTTTTGGTATCTTGGTAAGTTATCCTGCACTCTGGTCCGTTGGTGTTTATTTTTTCTCACAATTTCAAAGACTTCTATATCTGAAGTGGGTGTTTTGGCTGGTTTGCTTCCAGATGCTGCTGTTATTTATCACTGATTTGTCTGATAAACTTGATAATTTATGCCATTGTTGGTGAGGCCACACACATGGTGGTCTGCGCATTACTTTGAGGCTTTTGGGTTTAATGACCCTGGTCTACTCAGTAACTCTTTAAATGGCCCCACAAGTCTGTTTCGGTCCTTTGTTGATTGTTGATTGTTTGTCCTACGTTTGTGGTCAAACATATTTCCATGCTATCTTTTTATTCGTATCATAGCATTCTCGAATATTTCTCATCCTTGAGGCTATTCTGCTGCAATTATTGGATCTTCCACACACTTCTGATTGTCAGCCCTAATGTTCAGCTTTCTTTCGTTTGCTTGCTTCTGTATATTTCAAGCGCGACAATGGTTTTCAGCACTTGTTCGGTTGTTGTTAAATACTGTCTCCTTGTATTTTTCCTGAATCTTATCCAGGCTATCCACAATAATCTGTAGTTTGTACTGTGGTTCTTGGAGCCAAGGTTTTTGAGCATATCGAATTCACAGGCTCTTTAATCTCTCTCGAGTTGTTTACCGTAGTGATACCTATCTTGAGAGATTTTTCGGGGCTTGCAACTTAGTACTGGAACCAGACTTGAACTTAGCGTCTCAAAAAAGCTGTGTTAAACTTTGCAGTTTTGCATATCCTGTTGTCCAATGCTTTTTACCTCGGCTACCATCAAGTGATACGAAACTTGAACAGCTCATCTCTCATGGACTTTGTGTTCATACAGATATGATAGATCTACTTTTCCATAGTGTGATTCGATGAGAAACATGCTTTTTGCTTTTGTATCAGTGTGCGAGAACACTTACTACTGTAGTCGTGTTGCTGAAAACGCGTCGACCTTTGGGTAGGTTGTTATCTTATTTCATTTCTCCCGGTTCACGTCATGTGAGTATGTATTTGTGTATAGTGTTATCCGTCTTGACCTCGGGAATTGAGCTGCTCATTAGGATGGTTAGGTGTGTTATAGGGTACTTCTCTAGTATGGACTAACGCATCTCATAAAACTCTATTTATCATCATGACTACCCTCGTTGACGGGTGCACGACAATGGATTACATTCACTATAACACCATTCTTTTCTGTTGAAAAAGAGCTTTGAAGGTCTGTGGGTCATGATTTTCTTTAGGGCTTATTTGCGCAGCACCAGTGGGCTGTTTGTGTGCACTTAAGATATTTTATCCTTCATGATCAGAATACGATAATCGCACTTAAAGATGCGACAGATATTCAGAGTTTGGTGACACTTATTTTCGTACAACATTTATGGTCGAAAGACTCCACTATAGTCAAACCAGGAGTCAGGAATGAAGGGCTTCGAAGATATATATATATTTGAGAAGCGTTTGATCTTGGCTAGTTAGCGGTTTCAAGGGATGCGTAGCACGGCGTGCCTAGTGGTGACCTGATAAAGATGCGTCGCTGAGCTCCTTTAGCTAGGTGTGTCCTGTAAAACTAGTGATGTCAGCATTGACGTTTAAGACATACAAATTTATTTATTGTTGAGATTTATTTACACCTAATGCCAGTTTTATCTTTCCAGAATAAACAAAACTACATTCGCTGGCTCTGAGGAGAGCTAGATGTCAGCTTCTTATTTTCGTGAGCCTTTTAGCGACTTTTCCGGTCACTCATACTGTCTGAAAACTTCACAATCACAAGTTAATTGCTTTTCCGTTCATTAGAATGTGCACCTGTATGATAATTAGAAGTATTTGAATTGTAGTATGAACTAGTAATCCCAGGAATAACGCAATTTAACCAAGAAGTATTAGATGAGCACAAACGAATGTATTGTATTTGGAATTCAAAAATACAACAGTCATCAATACTAAGAAGTCATTGATTTATTTAAACATCACATCCGCCACAGCTCGAATTGAAGTGTAAGTGTCTGTAATCGATTGTTTGTCTTCTTCTTAAGTTCATCCTACATCTGTCCGATGGTGTATTGAATGTACACTCTGTATTATCTAGAATGCACTCTGGGTTCTAGAATTGTATACAATCAGCATGTCGGTTGTGTAGTGAAACCATTGATATTTAGAATTTGCATCATGGACTTTCCAACAATATCCTCCCCCACGAAATAATGTTGGGTCCTTGATTCGCAATGTTTTAGCCAATATGACGTTCCCAATTTGCATTATCTCAAATCTTACGCACCGACTACTGTATGTGAGTATTTGAGAATAAACACTGATATATAATTTGAGGTATTCCATCATGTGACTTTGACTTGAATAAAAATCATGATACATATTCTTTTTGTTATTCATATTAGAATACACAGATGGATATACATTGATATATGTAATTAACACACGTGATTCAATTAGGCTTGATTTACCTGCGAAACAATCGGATAGAAAACATTCATCTGCCTCATATTCATTAGGATAATCTTGGACTTGATTTGGATTCTCTGTCTGTGCAAACTTCACTTCTGGGCAAACTGGTTCTCTGGTTGCTTCGGAAAATTTTGCTATCCCCTCTGTATCATTATACCCCTGACTAGGGATTCTATTCAACATGCATTGTTCGTGAGAGTATCCAACATATGACACAATAACATCAGAAATATGACTAGAATTCAACTCATAAGAAACATATTTTTCACATTCATTAGGAATATCATTAGAGATCAATTCATTATGAGGACCACTGACACTTGATATGATATCAGAATCCGATTCTTCTGAAATATTTTCCTCAAATTGATTAAGAGTTTCATTAGGTAATGGATCATCAGGGAATTCAACATCTACCATGACTGAGTTTGGTTTTTGATCATGATTTGACTCATTTAGCATTCTATTCTCAGAATTGTAAGAAATTACATCAGAAGTATGTGAATTATTACGAAAAACCATATCTGGCACAATAACATGAGAAATCTGATAAGTTGATTGGTTGAGAATTTTCGCCTCCCAATGACTCTGGGTTTCATTCAACTCTGGACTGTTATATAACGTTATACCTCTTCTAGATAAAGATAACTGATCATTAGAAGCATCCATTTTAGCATTACTTTCAGCGAAATGAACCATGGTATTACAAACTGACTGAATATGTCCAGTTATACCACATTTAAAGCATTTAGAATTACGAAATATACATGAATTACATGGGTGAAACTTGCCGCAGAACATGCATTTACTAAACTTGTGCTCATCATCATGGACTGTTTCACAACTCAATGAAGTATTATCTGAATAAATTTGATTACGCATCGAACTACGACGACCGTTTGAATAAGTGGAATTCCTGATGTTCTGACGAGTCATTTTATCGGATTTTTCTTTCTTACCGCATTCGGAATTTGTATACTTTACATGATCCAACAGAAGTTGCTTGAGAGTTGCATAGGGGAGTGAAATCGGTTTGTCTGGAAGTGCCAAAATCTTTATAAGGCTGTATGCTTCTTTACCGATGAATGTAAGGAAATGGGCCACAATATTAAAATCCTCATCATCTTCCTTGGTCATAGCCCAGATTTCGAACCTTTCCATGTACTCCTCAAAAGCATCAGAAGTTGAATGAATGTCCAACTGTTGTATCGCAGGCTCCATCGCGACGCCAATATGATAATTAGAAGTATTTGAATTGTAGTATGAACTAGTAATCCCAGGAATAACGCAATTTAACCAAGAAGTATTAGATGAGCACAAACGAATGTATTGTATTTGGAATTCAAAATTACAACAGTCATCAATACTAAGAAGTCATTGATTTATTTAAACATCACAACCTGTCACATGGTTTCTGAATAATTTACGGCTTTACCATAAGGTGACGTTATTTTCCTGTTTGAAGACTGCTCAACTCCCAAGACATAGTTTAAACAATTCGGATGATTATTTTTGGTTGGCGTTGTTGAAACTATATCTCTTTTTTATAAGTTTTGTGGCCCGGTAATTGACACCGGTTTTACTGCATGAAAATTCTTTGGACATGAATCTTCCACTTGACTCCTCATATTACCTTGGTTAACCCCCTCAATGTGATGGCGGTGATAAGAAGCAAAATAGGCGTTGTGTTAGATGAGTCCGTTTCAAGCACTCTTGATTATCCAAACCGACATTCAGAGTGAGGTGCGGGAAAACAAAGAGAAGAGAAGAAAGTGAGCGAAAAGGTTAAATATTTATTGTAAAACGAAAATACATTACAGACATGTTATGAAAAGAGTAAGTAATATACACTCTCATTAAAAAAATCAAGGTTAATCAGCGAATACCTGTTAGGGTGGAAACGTAACTCATGAAGAACGGGCGAAAAAGTCTAGAATAATCCGTGTGCGCTTGATGTAGTACAAGACACTTCTGATGGATTGTTTTGAACTCTTCTTTCGAACCCCCTCTTTATCCACTGTTTGGGACAGACAGTGACCATAGAGAGGCTTCAGGTGGAGTTATTATGTATTATAACGATCATAATTTCTCATGCATTTGTAGACTATTCGCATATTTCAGTAGTACATCAAACTTTGGATAGTATTCAACCAGTATTGACATGAAAAATGTTTTCAAAGTTTGATTCAAGATGTTAGCGACGTCTTTAAAAAAAAGTCACAATGGTTACTCATTCTACTTAATCTTTCAAATGAATTCTTGAAGACTACTATATTCCTTCAGGTACTGAGTAGGAATTACGCTAGTTGACATCTCGTGACCACACCATTACTAACTAGTTAATTTAGCCTTTAATATCTCAGTAGGAGTAAAAAAACATATCTCTTAATAACCAAAAAAGTTTTCAAACTGCCTAGATTCAGAACTTAAGGAACAAGTTGTTTTGCAATTCTGCTTAGCGAAGTTTGTATTTTAGAGTTCAAAACCTTACATATTGAACATAGTTAGTAGAGAATCATCGTTGCTTAAACTGCTGTGGCGTATCACATTTAAAAGTTGTTGCTGGTTTAGTTTGCTAGGCTGTGCATATATTAGGTTTAGGTTGCTTGACTGTTTTCAATACTGTAAAGGCTGTTTATTATTTCGCATACTTATCATTAGCAAAAGACGTTTATGGCAGTATCCCTGAGAGATGATGAGCTCCGGAGGGAACTCAAGACTTTGGGTTTTGATCCAGGTCCAATTACTGCAACTACTAGGTCTGTTTATGTAAAAAAACTGGAAAAACTACAAAAGGAGAGAAAGTCATCCATTGTGGGTGTTTTAACGAAAGAAGTGTCAGAAACGCCTAAACAAATATCTTCCAAGTCACGCAAGTCAACTGGAGCAATAAATTCAAGCTCTTCAGGAAAGGAAGGTTCCAGTGTAATCAGTCGTAAGCATACAACTATTGAGTCAAATCGTGACTTAGGTATGTTATCTAATCTTAGAGTTACTTATGTGTACATTCTTAATTCAATATTTTGGTAAGATATGCAGTTGGTATCTTTTGATTGCTTTTCATGAAGTCTTTGAAGGGACTGATGTCATCGTCGGAGTCTAGTACTAGTTTGTAAGCATTGTGGATGTATAAACATCATATTTTTAAACAATCGCGATTGATTTCTCAATGGACTTTGTTCTACTTGAGTTAGGTAATTGAAACGACTAGGACTTGGAGATCTTTCCTTATAAACAGCTGCATTTATTTCATATTCAGAGGTGTGTTCGGGTGTTTGGTTGTTGTTCTTGTTATCTATGTGATAAGGAGATTCATTTATATCACGTCTATCTGTAGCAAATGTGGAATTTCTAGGTGTGGAGAATATAAACATGTGACAGTTCTGAGAATGAGACCAAATTGGATTAACTGACAATCCAACAAATTGTAATATAATAAATGGTTTTTCATTTTACGACCTATTTAAGCGCTCAAAAGTGCTTTGGAAATCATAACTTCGCTGCTCCGTACGATATTTAACATGGATAAGAAGCAACATTGGTATTACTATATCATAGTCTTCTGTCTCTTAGTTGAACTTTTATACATTTTAGGACCAGTCTATTATCTTTTACTATGACGCTGAAATACTCTCTTCACAGTAACCCGTCCTTACTATTTTCTTATTCCTTTTTATTTGGTTCAGCATCTTTGTATAGTCGTGACACAAAGTTAGTTCCAAATAACAAACAGGTTGTTGTGCACACTTGGTGTCTTATTGTGCGAAACGATTTTGCTTTAACCAGAAGGCAAACTCCGAAATAGTAGTAATGGTCAGTAGTACGAAGAGAAAAATTAAGGTACGCCCAAATGATGAAATTTGGAGAAATCCAACTGAATTTTGTGAATCCGTGTCGAGATTTTGTCAGATACCGACCTACTGAATCTGCTGAGATATCCGAGATGAGTGAAATGGCTGGTGTATTTGGCTACTTCACTACCTATTAATAATTCAGGCGTTGACTCAGGCTAGTTTCATAGCATAATTTCTCATTTAACTGGATAGAATCTCATCCCAAAGACTCTACTAATGATGCTTAAGGCGTTTTCACCAAATAAAACTATATTTGTGTCAGAGTTAGTGATACTAGCCTTCAGTTAAATCATTATCGAGATAGCCTATGTATAACATCAGTCGTTATCCGTGCCTCTAACCAACAAATTCACAAACACTATATACACGGTGACACATAAGTATTGTTTTTTTTTAACTCCATAACAATGTGTAAATCAATACCGTTATTTGGAACATGTTATTCTAAACCGTACATCAGAATTAGAGGTACTATTATTAGCGATTGTGGGTATGCAGCCTTACGTAGAAAGTTTCACGTCGTTGGGTTTTCCATAGTAACCAACTCTTAATTATGCGTGGTTATTCTCACAGTATTTATCTGTCGTAACGTTTTGCATGATTATGTGTAGGTATCATTATCAAGTTTTGATTTGATAATTCCGAATAAATTGAGCGTTTGGTAGATTTTTATAAATAAATAATGTATTCCAATGAGTAGAAAAAATTAGATTTTCTGACGTTTCGTGACTCAATGTAGGCCACTTCTTGAGAGAATAAATAACCAAATTAAAATTTGGTTAGGTAAGTAACCGAACTCCAAGCTTAAGAGTGTTTATTTTTATTGGTGAAGTAACCAATCCTAAACACATCGAAACTCATTCAAAGAAGGATAACGATCGTGATTATTTCCTTAAGGCTTATTAATATTTGGAAAATGGAGTTAGCAAGCTTGTGCATGGTCATATGCTCATCTAAATATTTCAGGGATACAGAACATAGAATTACTTTTCTGCTTTTTAATTTTCGATCTAGGAACCGAAAATGAACACTTTCCCAGTAAACAATATTCAAAAACCAAACCACCTCTTACCGGACATAATGTGGATTTGTCTGAACCCTATACTGACATACTTCCGAGCTTAATCCCAATGGAAACATCTCAAGCGGAACTTGTGAATAGGTTTCGTAATGATTCTAATGTGATCACTTCTTCAGTTTCATCACATAAGCAGTATCCTGCACAAAGATTTTCACGTGACTTGACTCAGAGCTCGGTTGATTATACACCCACCAGGAAAACGTATATTTATATTAAGGATGATTATGTAGACGATGATACAGACGAGGAATTAACAAAACAAAATTCGATGTCATCCACTTTGTCCAGGGTTGCTGGTTGGCTCAATCGAAGTGCTCATGAATTTACGAAACCAAGGTCTCCAAGTAATGAATCTGTTTATGAAAAATCGAAACCTCGTGTTCGCCATTCCTCACACAGCAATGATCGTTTACAAATATCAGATACAGATAGTTCTGATATAGAAAATTCCACTCGGAGCCCTTTCTTCAAGAGACTCTACCCCTCTCCATTCAGGTTTGCTATTTGTTTCATTTAATTTTTCCATGCAATTTTCAATTGTGCATATATGAGCGGGGAATATTTCACGTAATCAGTTAAAATGCTGTCATTTTGCAGCCATCTGGACGGCTTCTGTATTACCTGTCACAGTGTTTTAAATAAGCAAATATGATTAGTTGTATTCATACCTGCGCGTTTATTTCTGTATGCTTAATCCAATCTTTAAACATGATAGTACCACTTAAAGTAAATAATCACGTATTAGCATACATATGAAGTCAAGCAATAATAATCACACTGAAAAACTCCGACATACAATAATGCTATGAAAATTTACAACAGGGTTACCACTTTCCAAGTCTTGAGCACGTGTAAATACTTCCAAGACACTGCTCTGTAGGAGCTCGTCCCTAAAGTTACATCAAAACAACGGGTCTCCATGCTACACAACTATCCCTTAATTCATAGTAGTGTTGTAAACTGACCCGGTCAATCCAATTTTGACTTGAGACAAACAGACCTTGACGCGTTTTGCGCGATCTGTGAATGAGAGCGAAAACCAATATTTTAGGTCCAGATGGTAGTACATTTACCATGCTCACTACGGGCAGTACAAATGTCCTAACGTTAATTAAGACAGCGGGATGTCATACTGATAGACTGCTGCCTCAGTAGGTTAAATTAGTTGATTTGCTAAGTAGTTTTATGGATCGCCTTTGAAACTTGTGTCATTACTAAGATTTCAAATATCTTCTTCCCACTGACTTTAGGAACATGAAATCTCGAGATGCTGGAATCACAACGTCTCCTGGTCTTCTCTTCACTCCACCATCTAGGAATCTTGATAAGCCGACTTATCACGGTGTTTCTATTTTATCTGAAGATACCGATTTAAATGATCTTGTTCGTAGCCGAAAGCAGCGTGATCAAAACAACGGCTTTTCAAATTATTTCTTATTTGGGAAGCATTTTCCTTGCAGTGTCTCAAATATACCTAATTTAATTCTTATTTCAAGCATCATCGTGTGTTTTGTGTTAGTTGCAAGTTATTTAGTCTTGAAGGATCACCATGGGGAAGTTGGTAAAATGGCAGGTAAGCCGTAAAGATGTGACATTTCAAAAGTTGTTTCAGTGATTTCTAATTTGATAATCATAGAGTTGATTTTTCGTGTTTTAGTTAGGTGACTAAAATGTTTTGTGACTGCGTTTTCTCAACCTACTTCGGTTCGTTGTTTGGGTTGTTAATGTGAAAATCACTGGAAATGTATTTGAGTGTCTTAGTTTAAAATCTTATACTTAGCTTATGAATTACTTAATGCATAACAGAGCATATATATATATATATATATATATATATATATATATATATATATATTGATTAACACCTTTTCCTGACGATTAACAAACCTCACTGTTATCTTTGTACCCTATGTATGCAGTTATCGTTCATGATATGGCTCAAAGTCGTTTGCATCGTAACAGGTCCATTCATTCTTCGTTTTCGCCTGGATTCTGAGCTCTTGAATTCCCCATAGCTTTTCCTGTGCTTTTATTTCACTAATTTACATTTTCTTGAGTCGTTTCTTTTGTGTCTGATCTTTTCAATCACTCCTGATACTGTTACTTCCTCTACTATTTTGAGCTTCGAGCTGATGAGTATGGCAGCCTGGATCGATGTACTTAAGTACAGGTTCCACGTTATGACTGACTGACTGTCTATCTGTATAAGGCCATACAAATTGTAATTAATTGATAAAATACCATCTTTCTATCTGATGAGTCATCTTGACTCACAAAATATAGTGTTTGGTAGCTTCGACTATCTGCTATTTATTGTCCAACCATTCCTGCTGAGAATATTGTTCAGGTATCATGTCATTGTTCCACATTGAACTCTATGTCAGGTAATCCTCTTTGGTATTACAGTTATAATTCGTCGTTTAATGGAATCCATTTCAGCGTATTGTGTCACGTGCTAGTATTTATTCACAGTTAGATGTATTTCCTGTTTTTTGTCAATATTTTAAGACTGCTGTTGCATACTTGTATAACTACTGTGTGAGCGTAGATAATAATTTTCAGAAGCATCATTAGTCTGCTTTTGTTTTACATTTATTTAGATGTGCAGAAATTACTTTGTCGATCTTCAGGTGACTACAATAATAGTCTTACAAAAGGCTTACATGTAAGTTCGTCCGATTGGTTGTAATTCCCATTTGTTTATCCAGCGCTGCCTACACGAAGATGATCTAACAGCATCTTTATGGGTTCTTGGGATTTTGTATGATATTCTCAGTCGTTACGCTGGTAAGCCTTTTTAATTATTTGCCGACTTACCTTTTATCTATTTCAATAAAAGCTTTTATGAGCTAGTGAAATGTAAAAAAATAACTAGAAATCATACGACATTAGAAATTTGTTTTGTTTTAGTTAAGCTACCGACGATGTATTGAACACTGACACTTTATGTGTTAGCATCGCGTTTTAGGAATGTTCGCTTATTAGGTAGGATTAGAGCACTCAACTGCTGCACATTTGGTTGCTCACTTGAAACCATTTTCACTCACTTCGATCTAAGCTGTCGAGTAATTTCACTAACCCTGAATTCAAAAGTGTGGATCAATGCTGAATACACGAATCGGCAATTAGTTACTGATTTGCACTAGATTTTATTCCAATTAAATATTTAACTATTGTGTTTAATGAGTATTTCAAGGATTATCCGTTTGTTTACTTTGTTTTCATACATCCCACTAAGTTGCAAATTTTTCATTTTAGGAGAGTTTTACTGTAAAGTTGGAGTTTTGACTAGTCCTCGTTTAGATGTATCTTCTGCTGAACGTTTAGTTGAGCACAGCTTACAAATGAAAGGCTGGCCAACATTTTCGAAAACTGATTTTCGTCGAGTGTGGGATAATACACTTTATGTGCTACTTCATGTTGGGAAGGCGCATTTTAGTCTTGTTGCTGTTGACGTTAGCAAATCTGAACTAGGACCACTCAAGTAAGCTAGTCAAGTATCTAAAATGTATGCTGTCATAACACCGTCATACTCTGTTTGACAGTTGTATTTCTCTGCTTTTACAAAAAATTATGCTATCAGTAAGTAGTAATAGTTCTACTTTCACTTTCTGAAGTCTTATCAACGGTGATATTGTGATCTAAGAGACACAGTTTTATGTCATTATAGTCTCAGTCCTGCCGGATGTAAACTGATTTTTTTACATGCGTTTTATTTGAGTCTATTTGATATTTTAAATCATTTACGATATAGTTCTATTCCCTTTTTTATTTTCATTTATTTAAACACATAAATATTAGTACAAGGGGCATCAGATATATATGTGCCACACAGAACAATGAGAATGGGAAGAGAAAAATAAGGTAAGGTGCGTATAAGAATGAAAAGGAGAACAATAACAACCACAGATTAGTGTTTGTTAGTGTAATAATAAGAATAATAATGGGGGAAACGGAAATGTACAACCAGAAGAATTCTTTAAGTTAAGGAAGTTACAACCACTTTTTATGAAGGAAGTAAGAGAAGGTTACGGCAGGATCGCCACTGACTTCTATTTTGAGCCATATGTGATGACATCTCTAGCCACTGTGTTGCACCATCTCTCAGACCCCAGCCAAGGTGTCGGGAAGGACCAACAAAAGCCAGTCTTTTGCAGCTTTCTTTCATACCACGACACAGCTTTTTCCAACCAGTCCCAGCGTTGGCAAATAATGCACGACGAGGAATTCTCGGGGATGACATTCGTAGAACATGTCCGAGCCACCGAAGTCGATGTTTCAAGATGGTGACACCAATTGGATTATCGTCTCTTCACTCGAACACACAATGCCGAACCTCAGCATTACTAACATGGTGTTGCCACTGGATGTCAGCAATCCTTCGGAGACAACGATGATCAAACACAGAGAGTCGTCTAACATCCTCAACTCAGAAAGGCCAGGTTTCACAAGCATAGAGCAAAACCACTCTCACCGACGCATTATAGATCCGACTTTTTACAGTCAGGCTAACATCACGAAGGCGCCAAAGATGGCCCAGATTGGCATAAGCCGCTCTGGCCTTCACTATACGTGACCTCACCACTCATTCTACCACCAGCACTTATGCAGCTACCTAGATACACGAACTTCTCAACTACTTCAATCTGCTCACCACCCAGAGTGTTTGCAGGATTAGAATCCTGCCTGTCTCGTAGGAGTACTTTGCATTTCGAAGGTGCAAAGCACATACTGTACCTACGGACACTGATTGCCAACTGATTAAATGCGGATTGCATGGCTTGAGCATTATCGCACAGTAAGACAATATCATCCTCATACTCAAGGTCGAGAAGTCTTTCTCCAGGCAACAGATCCACACCGCCATTACTTACATCCATCAGAGCTGTTTCCAGAATATCATCGATAGCAAAGTTGAAGAGGAATGGTGAGATTGGGAAACCCTGCCTAACCCCACTGCTTGAATGGAACAATGGAGAAAGGTGGTTGTATGCCCTCACTCTGCCTGAGGTGTTCGTACACAGGGCTTTTAGGATGTTAATAAACTTCTCAGACACACCCTTCTTCAGAAGACAATCTCAGAGAACAGTCCTGTCCAACGAATCGAAGGCAGTCCTGATATCAAGAAACACTACGATTGTTGGCCTGCGATAAGTATGACAGTGTTCTAACATTTGGCGGAGGGTGATGATATGATCAATGCACCTTCGACCAGAACGAAAACCTGCCTGCTCCTTGCGAGTCAATGTTTATCGGGTTTTGAACAACCCACGAAGTATGACGGAAGCCAATAGTTTGGACGCAATCGGAAGTAGACTTATTCTCCGATAGTTGTTATAGGAACAACGTAAACCCTTTTTAAAGATAGGGACAACTCATTCCATGATTTTGGAACACTCTAATTACCAGACCTCTGTAAATAAAGTTGTCAGTTCCATAACCAGAAAGTCACCACCATCTTTAGAATGAGCCGGAGGTAAGTCATCTGGGCCTGATGATTTGTAGCGCTTTGAAAGTTGGAGTTCCTTTCGGACTTCCGTCTCTTTGATGAGTCAGTCGTCACCAGCCATGGAGGGCAGGACAATCTGATCGATGTTGCCGGGGCAGCAGACCAGTTGAACTGCCCTTCAAAGAATTCTGATAATCGTCCAAGATGTCGATGGATGTCAGTGATTGGCATCCCGTTATCCAATTGAGTTATAAACTATTTGTTTTATAAATGTTAACAGCGCTAAATCACAATAATGTAGAGTCAGACAATTTGCTACGTATCAAAGCATTAACTAAGCATTCGTGATATGGTTAACGCGTCTCATTAGAATAACTTGAAATAGCTTACGAATTCTAAGTTAATTTTAGCGCTAGTATAGTAAAGTGAAAGTAATGTAGTCCATGCAATTGTATATACCTAAGTTTTAACCGCATTATTTGGGTGGGATCTATCGAGACTATCCGGCTACCCAAATCGAAATACATGGTGCGAGTTTCTGACCTGCAACCTACTGGATAGAAGTTTAATGTCTTAGCTATATTTCTACTAATCTGAAAGGTTTTTCTGCCATCCATTGGTCTCTCAATATTCTTTGTAACTATCTACATGAATTTTCTCTTCCAGTGGGATCGAATGAAAGTTTAAAAACAATGTTTTGTCATGGCTTTTTCTTCATTTGTAGGACTAAGCCATATAAGTGAATGTAAATTGTCTATCATAAAGTTTACAAACTTCATACCATGCAACATATCACTTCATAATAAGTGAAAATTCTTTCTATCCTAATGAGTCAAAATCCATTTATTCGTGACAAATCAAAATTTAAAGATATGATGTTCGTTAGTCAGACCACACGTTTAAATTACTAAGTGATATGTGATTTTATTTATTTATTTAGTCGGGTAATCCAAATCACTGAACTTGAAAGTCTTAAACCATATTTTCCTGGCGTTTGTCGACTCCGGCGGTGTTTTCAATGGTTTGCTGGTGTATGCGTAGCTTTTTTCTGGGTCGTATTAGTTTGCCTGATTATTTTTGGGGTTTGTTATGGAGTTTATCTACTTCGCTGCAAAAAATTACGCGCCTTAGAACGTCAAAACTGTCGAGTAAGAGAGCTGGTGGCAGAAGTTGTATGTAAGTACGGTGTCACTATAAAAGTTTTCAGGTAATATTTTGACTTATTGAAAATCAGTTTTGTTAAGTGTTAATTGTGCAAGTAACCGGGTATTATAAGTCATTGGTTGTACGCTTTATTACGAATAACCACGAATTTACGTGTATTTCATGAAAATGAGGAACCGAAGCTTTTATTAACGTTTGGGGTCAGAAAGGGATAAAAAGACTTATAGTTCCTGTTTATAGTTAACTGAGACATGCCTTTTAAGTAAGCATCCTGTAGAATATCTACCACAATTGCTTTAACAGTTAAGCCTCTTGTCTCAATATGTCATGTAAAAAATGTTTATGATATCGTAAAGCGATAGAAATAATTTATTCACAGGTATCCTGTTTACAAATTATGGTTACTCAGAAATGATTTTCAGGTTTATCAACATAACGTGTTTGGTTCCTACTTGATCGTAGCTGAAAATATCTTCTTTATCTATAACTGGAGCAGGATTTTCATTCATAGTGGTTTCCAAAATGATTTTTCAGAGATCTTTTGATCATACGAAAGTTTATTTCGAAAAAGACTATTCCTTTGTAATTAATTTAGCTGATTGTGTACAGTCGACAAAATTCTTAATGAAATGTCTCATTTCTATGCTTTATCGATCCTAATTTCACAAAAACTAGTATTTTCTGATCTGCTTTGTCAAACAATAGTGCGTAGTCACGGCTTAAATTATATTAGTTTTGTCAGTAGTTGGTTCTGTTTTCTCTTAAAACTATGCCCAAACATTAGGTTGCTTGCGTTAAATTATTTTTCAGTGATATAAACATCTGTGGTATAATGAACCATAATTCCTATTGAATTATTTCCTTATTTATCTCGGTATTATCCTTTTGTTTTTGTGCTCGCGAATAGACTTGTTACAAGACCAGTTACGAGAAAATGAAGCCAATGCTAATCAGCCTCCTTATGTCCCTGTTTATATGATACGTGAACGCTTGCGTCAAAAACATCACGAGTAAGTAGTATTCGTTTTGTCGTTTGTTTAACGTTTCTACAATCAATAAACTTTTAATGAAAACTCAGTAATATTTCCATAAAAAGGTCTTAAGTCTCATTATTGTTTCACTAATTTCTAACCTATCATGTATAGAAATCATATTTCTTTTTACCTTAGTAACAATAAACAGTTCAATATATTTTGAAATTTGATTAAAACACATGAGACTATGCTTCTAGGTCCCTACTCCATGTTTACATATAAATGAGCATTCACACAATCATTTTGTACAACTTATTTCGTTATAACACTAAGCTTTCAATCATTTAGTTTCAGGTTGAAACGCTCATTCTCATTAACTCGATTTAGTCAGTTGTGTTGCATCTCAAAACCGAACCTGTCCCTTATTGAAATTCGAACTAGTTTTACTTCTTCATATTTGGAGTAAACTATAAAGTAAAAATCAGCCAAATTAGCCAACATTTTAAAAGGCGGATATATATGCTATGTAAGTGGTATTTGTTGACAATGTGTTAGTAGGCTTTCTAGTACAGTAGATCGTTTTGTTGAGTGAATCTCTCACGCTTAGACTTGGAACTAAACTTTAATCACTACCTAAGTATATATACAATTATTAATATCTTTTATCAACTTTTAAGTCACTTGTAATCGCTTATTTATCGTATCCATAAGCAGAGTAGTTTATCGTGTCATAACTGTTGTTCTTGAGAAATTATTTCGTTATGTGTGAGACATTTCATTCAGTTTGTTAAGTCTATTCGCGTTTTGTCCTTCAACCCCTCTTTATTGCATTTACTGAGTAAACCTATTATTCCACTGGTCATGCTATAAACGATGACTTTGATACTTCAAAAATCAAGGTTTTTCGAAATGGAAATGATGAAAAACATTTTGCACTTGTATTGGTTGTCTTCTTTTCTAGTGCAAGCCGTTAATACTAAACTCCTCTACTGCACTTTTTTATATACAGGATAGTTTATTTTAGCAATGTAAATAATATTGCAATTGAGATTAAAGTAAAATGACTTTTGTTCAATCCAGCTTGAAAGGTAGAAATCACTTCAACATACAATCAGTTAATAAACACGTTTATATATAGATGTCACAACATTCGAAAACCCACCAATGAATAAACAATTTGTCGATAATACTTACAATTTTAAAAACAACAGTAATAATAGAGAAAACGATGAACATTCTCAAGTATAGTGTGCAATAACAACAGACTCAAATTTAAGTTCTTCATTACATTCATAATAATGTTGTTTACTTATATCCATATAAGTAGTATATGGTGATGGTCAGACATAGAATGTATTTTGGCAGAGGATTCATAAGGAAAGAACTGAAATGAAGTGCAATTGGTAGGAAAATGCATGAACAATAAAATTGGAGAAGATGAACTGATATTTACAGAAGAAACAGTGAAGATTAAGATAATTAGTTGTTATTTTGCAAAATAACGGTTTGCTGCATGGTTATCAGAATTTAGTGAGATAGTCTGTAATTTGTGCTTGAATACATTCGATTGTCCCCCACCCGTATTCTCGTTCACTACACATACGGTAACGTACAATATCTTGTCGGGAAATTTAAATTTCTTTCTGTTTTTAGCTTAGATCGGTTGTGGCCTGAAGTTACGCGTTATGTTTATGAAGTAGAAACTTGTATCGGTGTACAAGAATGGAGAGGTGTAGGCGAAACATGGCAATGGCAAAGCGGCACAGGTTGGCAAGGTTCTGGTAAGTGATTATCGATTGTATATGTGCATAAAACAAGTGTACTGTATTATCAAAAAAGATTATTGTTTTCTTGAAACTATTGTTTAATGTCTGTAATTTTCGGTGTTAGTGTTATAGTTTCTCTTTATTACGACCCAGCTATTCCTATTACTTAGTATTCTTGGCTACCAATACACTCGACAAGTCTCCAAATCAGAACACGGTTGAACAGGAAAGAAATTATAATCTGACTAACAAGGGTAAATGGAAGGAAGAAGCTCAATAAGAAATACGTTAGTATATTTATAGTTTTTACATGGGAAGATTCTAGAGTGTTCTCTAAGTATCGACTAGCGCTGATTGGATGAGTGTGAGTAGAGTCATCTCTCCCTGTAGAAATTCTCTCACATGGCCACGCGTATACAGCCAATGACCCCTCGCGGCGGGGATGTTGTTTACGAAATTCAGAGAACGAAAAGCCAATGTCCGGTGCTTTAGCCGGGTTAGTAAATATGGAAGGTCCATCTAGGGGAGTTGGAAAACCCTGATTTCAAACCAATGGTGCACATGAGCTCCAGAATCCTGAGGGAACAAATGGAGTAGAAACCAATTATTGGCCAACGACTACCATGGGACTGCATCTCCTGACGTTGATCCACTACCTTGTGGATCAGATCTTTAGGTCGAAGGCTCTGAGTGTGGCCCCCTGAGAAAACCACCTGCTTCGGTCTGGATACTCGAGGAGTATCACAGTCCACACACAAATCAGGTGACTTGTGTGGCGCATATGTATTCAATGCCCTTTTGTACCAATATTTGTGTCACTTCCGCTAGTACTGTTACTGCTTCTACTGTAACATTTTTCATGATAATTTCATCTTGCTATTTTAATATGACCTAGCAGCTGAAACCGGCTCACGAATATCCCAGGTTCTACGTTTAATATGACTGACTAATTACTATAAGCACTAGCTCAGTGGTTTAATAGTTCGACTGTCAACCACGAGGGCGCAACTTCGAACGTCGCTCCACATACTTTAGTTTGGCAAACCGGGTTGTAATAATTTCTGTCAGAATTGGTGTGCCTTAAAGCCAAGTGCAGAAATCTCCACAAGGCAAAATCATTTGACTCGACAAAACTTAAAATAATGGACTATCTTTTCTCTCCGTAAACGTATGTTTGATGTTTTAAGTTGTGAAGCGTGCAATTTTAACAAAAGTCACCCCGTTATGTAGTTACAATGGCTTATCTAATATCTCTTTTTCATGTTACAGCACTTATGGACACGTCACAGAAGCCAAGTTTTATTGTTCCTCCAACGGAGTGCTTGAAAATAAGGAATATGTTTTCTACAGAGTAAGCGTCCTCATGTGAAGTGTTTTCTTTAGATACAGGCATACATGTTTTAGTAATTATTATAAATTAAAAATTGTTTAAAGTTCACGTAGTTTTGAGGCCATAACTTTTAACAAACAATATATCTCGTTTTCTTTCACTATATTATAGAAGTATCGATGAACGTGGACGTAAAAGAATTAAACGCGAACTCTTAAAAAAATTAGCACCTTGTGGGCCTATTTTACACATAGGCTTAGATAGTGTTGGAACAAATGTAAGTAATTTTCTAAAATTGTTGGAGCAACGCCGTCGAAAAAGCATTCTTCACATTACTTATTTTTAAATCATAGTTTCCAACTAACTTCAATTACATAAATTTGGATATCCTGTTTGTTGTATTACTTTTTAAAATAAGTGTTGTTTGTCACTTATGCACATATTTGTGCGTTTTTGATTGAAATAATTGAAAATTAAACTAAAAAACTAAGTACCTAACAGCGCCTTAATTTCAAACAATTATTCTTCATAGCAATCCTCTAATATATTTTTCAACTGTGTTTAAGATATGTTTTCATTGATTCCTTAGTCGTTCCTTGAAAGAATGATGCTAATTTTCAGCTTTAGTCGATGCTTTCAGTTATGTTTTGCTCTCAAAAGTACATGGTTTAGTTAAGCTTTATCGGAAAGGGGTTTTGTGAAGATTGTAGTAATTTAATATTTGAATTCATGAGCTTTCACTGTCGTTCTAGACCACATAATTTTCGCCTACTTTATATCGTAGTGAGCGTTTTAATTGTTCCACAGGAAACAATCCAGTAAACCTTAGTTTTACCCGACATAATCACTTAATTCTATTTTACTGAGACCTAAAGTCATAGCGAGAAAAAGCGATAAATGCAACATTGTCTACAAATTAAATTGCACCAGTTGTGAAAAGTGTTACTATTGAACATGTCTTCTCTGCCTACGCATAGATGAACTTCGATTAGTAGCGAAACGATATTATGTATTACCACTAGATATGGACATGAATCCGACTTTGGAAGTGACGAAATTCTTGACCGGTGAGACTAAGTGTTGGGAATATTTTATGGTCATGGCATCAACACACATATTGACATAAATTTAATCTACCGACACATAAATGGGTCAATTCATAAGATGGTCAGAGGTCATTTGAGATTGACAGTTAATAGGAATGCAAGAATAATTTATGAAATGAAACCTATAAAAATAACAAAGGACTAGCAAAGAAATTTTGAAAAAACTGATATAACGCTTGTGGAATTTTAAGAAGGCTCGTTTCTACGTGAATTTGTCACTGATGTGTCTAATGACGGTAAAAGCTTCACTAATAAACTATCTAGCTCAGAACATAATACCTGGAATTTTTTGGTAGGATTTAGTGACTTGTGATTACAGTTCTATCGGGTCTAGATTCTAGTTTCGGAATGAACAAATAATTATTCAGAATTGTGCGATATAATCGTTTTTGAAGTTGTCAAAACTTATTTTGATAACCTAAGATTGGCGGTTTTTAACTGGGATAAGGCGGTATTCTAGTACACTTATACCTTTTTTGATATTTACTAGTGTTGTCCAATAGCTTACTACTAATGAACAAGGCAGCATTATTATTGGTATTCTTTCCGGGAAAGTAGACACAAGTGCTACTACGAGAAGTTCTTTTCTTTTCCGTCTAGAGATAAAGTTACACTTCAATCGATATTTGAGTAATGTAACTTATGTGAGAAACCAACGTTTTAAAATCGAATTCCTTAAGATTTGCCACGAATATAATATGACAATTTTTTGGAAGATAGCGCGTTACTTTTACTAATTAGTTCTAGAAGACTCGTAAAAACTCATATTTTTAGTCAGTGATATAGTTCATCTGTCGAAATGAAATTAAATAGAGTTGGTTAAGAAAATACAAAGGTCCGCCCCAGCTCTCTGATGTCATGTTCAGGTCTCGTCTGTGAGACAGTAATATTCACTAAATACAAATATATCTAGTTAATATGTAGAATATAGACCACTTCTATTAAATGACAAACTAAAAGCTATTTGTGAAATAGTTGTAATAACCACCTAAGTAATCAGTTGTTGTTACACAATTGTCTCAAGTAGAGCGTTTCATGTCAATGGATAAATGTGAAGATATATAGAAAATCAATCTCAATTTCGAATGAATGACTAATTTGTAGTACACGTCCTATCATGATTCATCGTGCATCTAAGTTGTAGTTATTTAAATTGGTTCAACCAATTTTGTCAATAATTCATCCAAACAAACCGAAATCTCACTGTAAAGTCTGTTACAAAATGTGGTTCATGTAAATGGACCTCCTTAAATATACATTACAAAATATCATTAGATAATTCGTAGTGAAATAATATTTCGCGTTACACGATTGGTGTTAAGAAAGGAGCCCAACTGTGAACTTTATTGAATATAATAAAATGTTGCGTTACTTTTATTCATTAGCATTTTGTCTTTGGTTTACTTACGTTAATAATATAATATCTGATGGTCTAAACGTGTGTTTCAATTAAGAAACAATTCATTCTATGTTTAATCTATAAATATTTAAGTAGCTGTGTTACACTTTTAACCGTAGCATCAGTTTTATACGAAATCATGAAACCAACTTGTATATATTTTTAATTTTTTCAGTGGTATCTGTTTTCTACCTTTTTTCCTATCTCAGGGATTAGTGTATATAAAGTGTGGAGATCCGGAAACTGCAGGTCGTGTTTTCCATTCTATACATGCTAATTATTTTGATGGTAAGTTATGTGATATATAGTTATTTTATCAACTCGTTTCTGGGTTTCTTGTTTAGCTTATAAAAGAATCGTCTTTGATGTGTTTCTTTTTGGAATTGTTCAGCTTTTTATAAGTATATGTATATATATTCATGTTTTGTCACCTCACGTTCTTACATCAGTTTCCGCAACTCAAGTTTTGTTTTTACTGTAGTACTAAATTTCATACATTTATTATTTATTTAGTATTTGAACACAAATATTGGTGCAAAGGGGCATTGAATACATATGCACCACACAAGTCACCTGATTTGTGTGTGAACTGTGATACTCCTCGAGTATCCAGACCGAAGCAGGTGGTTTTCTCAGGGGGCCACACTCAGAGCCTTCGACCTAAAGATCTGATCCACAAGGTAGTGGATCAACGTCAGGAGATGCAGTCCCATGGTAGTCGTTGGCCAATAATTGGTTTCTACTCCATTTGTTCCCTCAGGATTCTGGAGCTCATGTGCACCATTGGTTTGAAATCAGGGTTTTCCAACTCCCCTAGATGGACCTTCCATATTTACTAACCCGGCTAAAGCACCGGACATTGGCTTTTCGTTCTCTGAATTTAGCGAGAGCTGACTCCACTCTCCACCGTAACAAGGCATTTTGTGAAAATTGCTTAGTTTGTAATTGGTAATCATTGTAATATATGTATACCTCTACTAAACACAACCTTACTGAAAAACACCAAACAGAATAAACAAATTAAGTCATTTAAACTGCTTTCCGAGTTGAAGGAGGAATTATGACGGCTCATGGTGAAAGTGGAGATTCTTCGGTAGTCAGTGCCTCTTCTAGCAACCGAAGCACAATCTTTATAGGTACATGGAACGTCCGGACAATGTAAGAGAAGGGGAGGGCCAGTTAAGTAACAACAGAACTTAGGTGATACAACTTGGCGGTTCTACGAATCAAATAAACCCATCGGAACCAAGTTGGACAGAAAAGGATAGATTCAAATGAGATGCTGCTGTACTGTGGTCCCAAAGACAAAATGCTCTGCTCTGATGCTGTCCAAAGATGCACGAAATGCACTTACAGGATAGTAATTTCACGGATCCAGAATCATCAAAACATCCTTCAAAACAAAGAAGGAGGGAATCACAATCAATATTAACCACTGTTATGCATCCACAAATGATAGCAACGATGACGATAAGCACCAGTTTTACTAGTGACTGCAATCTATCATAGCGAAGTGTCCAAGACAAAAACTTGACCTTCTTGATGGGAGACCTAAACGTCATAGTCAGAATAAACAACACCGGATATCAATATATCATGGGACGACATAGACTGGGGGAAAAGAAAGAGAATGGTGAGAGATTCGCAAATTTCTGTGCATCCAACAAAATGGTTATAGGTGGCACAATATTCCCCCCGCATATGCATACAAAAAGTTACATGGGTCTCACTGGATTATATTGTAGAGAACTAGATCGATCATATTTAGATTACTAAAAAAATTCAAAAGGACAACCGATGTGAGAACCAGGAGAAGAGCTGAAGACCTGACATATCGAATGAGATTTGTGCGGCACATATGTATCAGGTGCTTCCTTGTACCAATATTTATGTGTTTAAATAAATAAATAATAAAATCTGACATATACCGACCGAAGCACTAAAGTTTGACGTAGAAGCAACTGCAAACATGCTCCACATTCTATTCAGGCAGATTTGGGTGGAAGAACAAATGCCAAGGAAGTGGAAAGAAAGATACCTCATCAAGATACCAAAAGATAGGAAATCTGAGCAAATGTGAGAACAACGGAGGTATCACACAACTATTGGCAGCAAGAAGTCTTGTGTGAGCGAAACAACTTGTGAGGATGATGAGATGCCAATTATGGACGATGAGCAGAATTCTTTGAAGGTCAGTTCAACTGGTCTGCTGCCCCGGCAACATCGATCAGATTGTCCTGCCCTCCATGGCTGGTGACGACTGACTCATCAAAGAGACGGAAGTCCGAAAGGAACTCCAACTTTTAAAGCGCTACAAATCATCAGGCCCAGATGACTTACCTCCGGCTCTTTTTAAAGATGGTGGTGACTTTCTGGTTATGGAACTGAACTTTGTTTACAGAGGTCTGGTAATTAGAGTGTTCCAAAATCATGGAATGAGTTGTTCCTATCTTTAAAAAGGGTTTACGTTGTTCCTATAACAACTATCGGAGAATAAATCTACTTCAGTTTTACGAAACAATGATGTCTGCTTATTTGTTAAGTATAATTATTTATCTCATTAAAATCAGATTGAGACTTTAAAATACTAAACGTATGAAGTAACCGATAACCTAATTGAATGCAAAGTCATTAAAGTCACCTTTTGTCTGATTAGCACAACAATCTAAACAAATGTTCGTTTATTATTGTCAACAAAAAGCAATATTTTCTTTGTTAATCGTATTTTCCTTCATTGTTTAATTTGGTTTAATAGCACGACTGAAGTTTTACCTTCGTTTTGATTAGAAAGAGTAGTAGTATAAAGGTTGATTATTAAGATTAGACTATATTTGTTTACGAAAAGCATTCAGTGTATTGTAAATTGCTTAATCACTGGTTATATTTCCTTAATTTATTCATTTGTTTGGGTGTTTTATTTCCGTAACCTCACACATCCATTTAAGCTGGGAAAATGTGTATATTTATGTCCGCATTTAATTCTGCGTATATTATTTTAAGGCACTGCCCGTTTTCATTTATTGTTGCCATTCTCTCTTCCTTCATAGGTCGATTGTTGACTGTAAAGTTCTTACGGGATAATAAATATTGTTTACGCTTTCCTGAGGCTCATAGTATAAAACAGCCACTTCAAATAGAAGATTTCGAATAAATAATCAGTAGTCGTGTGTATTGCAAATTGTTATGAAGTTGTATTGTACTATAATTCTACCTAACAGTTTTGAATGAGTTTCTTTTTTTGATATTAATACTTAAAATTGTTCGATGTTCCAATTTATCTAATCGCATTTACTCTACTTCTACTATTACCATTACAATTTTCAATCTTTTTTTAGTGCATTTTCCATTTATGTTATTATTTACTTTGTAGAGTTTGTATTTTGTTTATCAACTCATTGTATTTTTAAGCTTTGTAATCTTGCATATATATTTTTTATGAATAAATTATGTACTGTTAGTTTTCTCATTATTGTATCGGTGTGTGTACATGCAAAGTAAGCTTATTGTACAGCCTCTTCTCAGGTTTGAATATAACAAAAATTGCAGTTTTTGTATCTTGCCATCAGGAATTCTCAGGGTTGTTGGTACGTATTATTTCCATCAGTTCTTCCTGTATTTTTTTGAGGATACCATCAGGGTCTTTTAATTTTATCTGAAAATAAAACATACATATTAAGCAGTGATTACTAGAATCAGTTTATTCGTGATAAGCAATATTTTCCGGTGTTTATTTATTATGGGTATATATGGTATCGCCCATCCAAAATGTACAATTTTATTTAGCTGATCATTTTGTCGAGTTTTCGTTACTTCAAATGTTAAAATTACAAAGTAGTGTCTGTTGTAAAATAATTTCAGACCAAGGCTTCACTACAATTCTTTTTGTTTATGATTTGAGACTGAGCAGTGAAATATCTGAAAGCCATTGGAGATTGGAATGTTCCCTAATTGGTCCTGTGTTATTGAGTAACAACCTCTCCTGGCGTGGTTGAGTTTAAAACTTCACAAACGATTGGAGCGGTTTACTCTAGTAGTCATTGAACTAATATCTAGTAGTAAGCATTACATACGTATGAATTCATAAACGTATATACACTTAGGTGTTTTATATGTTAGCTTTATCAAATACAATAATAAGATGAGTTTCTTGACGTATCTTTCCAATTATGAGTGGGCCTTACAAAATATTATGCCCAATAATAATGTCATATCATCTTATTTAGTATTTCATTGTGATTGACATGTCTGTCACTCCTGTATCTCATACATTCATTTCTGTTTGCATTTTAAGGCTGATCTAGTTGTACACTTGTTCTGACTGTAAAACTAAATGCCATTTTCATTGGTACACGATTAAGATGGAAAACATGAACTTAATGAAAATGCATTGATCATAAGTGGTTTGTCGCTTGTTATCAAAATGTTCCTAGTATTCTGAACAATTTGTGTTGTGCCACGTTAGAAAAATAACAATTGGTTTGGTTAATAAACTTTTGGGTGGAGTACTGAAATCTTTTACGTAAGGAGTTTCCATTAATGTTCTGTGGTGTATACTGCTTCACTGCACAAGATTATATTACAAAAAGAATTTTAGTTGTATTTCTCTCTGTTATATTCCTTATATAAGCTTTAAATCTCACTCGATTTTAGTTGAAGTTTTGAGACCGTCAAACTCAATGTTGTGACGTGGTTAACTTATGCAAAAAGCGATCTATGTGAATCTATCAAACAAATGTCAGATAATTCCTTCAAACTATAAAAAACTATTGTCCGTTGCAAAGGTCTGTCTTTTCGTGTTTTATAGTAACTATCAGACGTAATTACCTTTGGATCTGCTGACTTTGTCCGTAAAAGTCGAGCTTTTTCATTGCAAATGGTATGAAAAATATTCCTACTTATAACCCATGATGTCCTTTGTTTCGTATATGACTCAGTACATATGTATTACTATCGTTACCTCACGATTTCTTAGCTGCTTTTCGTACTACGTCTATCAACAATTTTTTGCAATCACCCTATAATCTATTCTGAAACAGGATATAGTCTATGTTCCAAGTTCACTATGGTGTTTGTATGAACCAATGATTCTTTTGTATTGATGACTGTTCAGTTTTGAATTCCAAATACAATACATTCGTTCGTGTTTATCTAATACTTCTTGATTAAATTGCGTTTTTCTGGGATTACTAGTTTATACTATAATTCAAATACTCCTAATTATCACATTCAATGTATTTTTTATTTCTTTGATCATTCGTTTTCTCTTCATCTGGAAACATGAAATTATAGTAATATTATTGTCAGAGAATATTAACGAATCAAAGCCTACCTCTGGTATTTCTGACTCCGTTGGACTTTTCGCTACTTGCCTTCCGAGGTCCACAATTTGAGAAGATTTTGGTACATCATCGCACCATATTCCCTCCATTAGTTGGCCAGTATTAAGGAAGAAATATTTCCCCACTCCGTTCTTTTTGTCATTTAACCACTGTCCTTCAAATCTATTTTCATTTGCTGGGAACTCTACTTGTTTTATTCCAAGTTACCCAATCTAAGCATCCCATCTCCATGCCGTTTATCATCAAACCACTGTCCTTCATAAATGCTTCCATCAGGGTAGTACATTCTTCCCCATCCAGAACGCTTTCCATCATACCATTCACCTTCGTACATTTTATTTTCCGAATACCAGTTGTTTCCATAACCCTTGGAAAATTGTTAGTGGTATTTAAAAGAACTTGCGTGCCGTTTGTCGTATTTCCAGGAACCTGAATAAACATTTACATGTTTTCCGTTCTTCAATTTCCGGCTCAAAACGCCAGATCCACTTCGCATATTTTTCTCCCAATTACCTTCATAAACAAGGCTTGATTTTCTCCATTCGTATACACCAAAACCTATTTAACACAGACCTTTTTATTTTATGTAAGAGAATTTCAATGGATGAACAATTGATAAATATATTAGTGTTCTAATAACACGATATGCTTGAAGAATCAGCATGTAATAATGAAGCTAGCATAACTGAGGGTTATTTACAGTAAGTACTGATAAGTAGATGTATAAATCAAAAGAACAAAATTCGTATGCTTCGAAATTTATATTAGAAATATATTCAAACTTGTAAGACCTGCAGTCAGATGTTTTGCAAGAGGAACTATTTTTATATACCTAAAACCGAATAGGGGGCAATATAAAACGAGTTCAAGTGTCCACGAAAATGTAACTACGTGCTTTTTGCCACGCGGTTCAACATTTCAATTGAAGATGTAGTTTTGATAAGGTAAAGTTTTTTTTACGTCATACAGTCACTAGAGATAAACACGCTGGTATATTTGATTTTATGGATACAAACTTGTACTGTATGGTGTATAATTTAAATCGACAGTGAAAATCCTGCAGGAATTCAGTTACTTTAGGAAAGACAAGTCAATCTTCCTGTTTTAACGTCAATGCCAGTTTCCCAAGGTATATTCACTGTTTGAAATATCGAATCGAAATATACAGATTCCTAGCACTGATAAAACAAGGCGGTTGTGGATATGAATAGCTATAAAACAAATTGCTTGTAATCATCCACCGACAGATAGTTTCAATCACAGGTTGATTCTATTTAAAAGACTAGCAAGCATTGGATAGTTGTTTCATTTAAGTAAGAGACTTCTCAGGAGTGCCCGTCGACAATCCAACCAAAGATTGTCGGCCACGCAGCGATCCCCAAAACCCGAGGCAACTGAGCCAGCATCTAGTGGTCTACATATTTAACTTTTATCAATTCTCGATGAATGATTGAGTCGGAACGTAAGCGCATTGGGGTTATTTATCGTAACTATTGGATTCTAGAATAGGTGTTTGGATGTCAAATGCTTGTTATGAGATCAAAATTTATTGGTAATCTCATCTGTGTAGTTGTGTTTGTACACTACCTAGTTCTATCCTATAACAAGCTGCTGCCTAGTCCTCAGTTTTCTATGGTCGTTCATTAATAATCAGTTCATGACGCAATCTATAAAAACGCAACACCTTCCACGAAACTTGTATCAAAAGTGCATAATGAAATTCGGATAGGTTGGTCAATCTCTATGAATGAAAATGAATCTAGTCAATTTTAGTACAGTATGTCGTAGTAACACATAGTTCTTATGCATAGGAACAAACAAACTCTAGTGGTCATCATTCAGAACGTACATCAAGTGTTATGTATAAATAACAGTTCACATGATATGAGTGCAAAATACGTTCCGTACCATGACGCTTGTTGTCTTTCCATTCACCTGTGTATTTATCACCATTAACTGAAAAAACAGTATTTCTCAAGCCATTTTTATCAGCTTTGAAGTCAATCTCTTTCAGTCTCGAATTAATATTTATCAAACGTGAAACCATCGTCGGGATTTGTTCTTCCGCCAACTGGTCACCATGACATTTGTGACACTCCTCAAAAGAAAATCCTTTGAAATTTGTAGCAGAATTACAATAAGGGTTAATTTCGCTTTTTAACCTTCCCTTAAGCGGGTGATCGTCGTATGAACTTTTAGTGTCAGAAAGTTATTTTGCACAGGCTATTTCAAAATTTTGTTATATAACAGCGTTAAAATGTTGGTAATCAAATTCAGGAGCTATTCCAATGTCCGTTGATAATAATCTACGAGTTATAGTGTGGAAGATACAATTGATTTTCAGGTTTTAAAAACTATTTCTTCCATAACACTTTTGTGATAGAAAGACTACACATTTCAATTAGATATGGGATATGTGTTCGAAGATATTCTGGTGAGTCTCGTGTTTGTCCTGATTGCTACATTATTTATTTTTTTACACGATCCACTGGTTTATTTTTATTGTAGTATCCTCTCCCACCACACTTATTGATATGGGCTCTCCTCCTGTTACCACCATTTTCTCATTGGCAAACTCTACTGAAAGCATTTTAAGTTCAGTTAATACTATCTCGGAATGCAGACTCCCAATATATGGAGCTAATGACCCAAGAATCTTGTTTGCCCAAATAGAAGCTTTATTCATGGCCAGAGTCATACGCTCACAGGCAACAAATTATGCGTATGAAGTCGGTGCACTCCCCATTGAGATTACTGCATATGTTGGGGATTTAATCGACGACGGGCCTTAGTCGGAACCATACGATTAGATAAAAGCGAACGTAATTCAATGCACTTCGGTCTCAGATGAAAAAACACTACAACAATCGCTAACGTTTGGTGACTTGGGAGACAAGAGATCCTCCCAACTTCTTTGTCATATGAAACAACATGCGGGCCCATAGAAACTGGATGCAGCCCTTCTAAAACAAATGTTGTTTCAACGATTATCATGTAACGTCAAACAAATCCTTAGTGTCTCAGGGAAATCTGTCGCCCATGATGATTTAGGCAAAATGGCGGATAAATTATGAACTTTACCACGATAGTTACTGCGCGAGCTCTGTGCAACCATCTGGACCAGCAAACATCATTTGCTTAGTCTCTTTCCAAAAGCATTTAACACACCTAACGAGTCAACTAGCGTCACTGCGGACGACAATAGCAACCGTCCAAGCTGGACAACTGAGATCCTATTCCACAGAGAAACGCTTTTCTAGACAACGTTCTCGTTCATCGAAGCATACATCCGAAGATTGTTGGTATCACCAAAAATACGGCATTAAAGCACGGCGTTGCACACACCGTGCACATTTTCTTCAACTGACATAGAGAATCAGGGAATCGGCCTGACCAGATATTGATGACAGCGCCTGTTTCTGTCCACTATCCAAGCCGTCTCTTTCACATAAGGGACCGAATTTCTGGCTCAGATTTTCAGTCGATGCTGGGGCCGAGATCATCATCTTCCCTCTACTTCTGTCTCGGCGACCACACTTTGGTAGTACCAAATTATCTCTCGTCGCGGCCAACAACACTGTCAATAAAAACTATGGGGGACAATCGCTTATCTTAGACCTCGGCCTCCGTTGAAGGTTCACATTGGTGTTCAACGTAGCTGAAGTCAAGCTACCCGTTCTCAGGGCCGACTTCCTCAGTGCTTACAACCTACTAGCAGTTATGAACAAGAAGAAACTGATTGACTAGGATGCAAGCTTACGTGTTAACGGCGCAACTACCTCCAATTATGAAATTCATGGTGTCCGAATGATAAAACCTGAAAATAAAACTTTCGCCGATATCATGTCGAAATATGAGTGCATAACTAGAGTTGATTATCAGAGCACATGAGCACATGAAGCAACCAGGCATCATCTGGCAGTCTGGTAGCTCAAGAGCTTCGCCGCTACATATGGTTACGAAAACAGATCAAGACTGACGTCCATGTGAAGATCACCGTCGTTTAAATAATCAGACCATTCCAGACAGGTATCTTATTCCTCATCTACATGACTTTCCGCTTAAATTTGCACGGAAAACAGATTATTTTCTGAAGCTAGACGTAGTAAGAGCACATCATCAAATCTCAATGGCACCTGAAGATATTGAAAAACAGTCATAATCATACCTTTTGGTTTTTTTGAATTCGTTTTAATGCATTTCGGGCTTAAAAATGCTGCTCAAACGTTTAAGGTTGAAATAAGCTTAGACTTAGTATCTGTATGTGTTGACGATGTTTTGACCGCTAGCTCATCCATGGAAGTACACGTACAGTATTAACACATCCTCTTTGATCGTTTCAAAAGTTTTGGCGTTGCGATTAACCCTTCAAAGTACATACTCGGCGTCCTAGCTCTAGGGTTTCTGGGACATCACACTGACTCTCAGGGAATTAAATTACTACAAAAAAAAGTGGAAGCTATCGTCAATTACCATGAGCCTTAGTCGGAAAAATCATTACGTTGATTTCTGGGGATGTGCAATTGTTATCAGCGTTTCCTCCCTAACTACGCTGAAACATTACAACCTTTGACAGATTTGCTGAAGATAGATATAACAGTAGCGAAGCCCAAGAGAGACAATTCTTTCACGTTACAATTTGATGTCAAAACGGCCTTCTATAAGGCAAAATCCATGGTAGCCAGTGCTACCATGTTACAACACCTAAACACCGATCCTACGACTCCGTCAATCCTCTGCACTTATGCATCTCAGAAAGCCGTAAGGGCAGTATTGCAACAGCATGTAAACGACAGGGTTTCACCTATAGCATTTTTCTCTACACGACTATCACCAACCCAAGAGCGTTATAGCACATTCGGACGCGAGCTATTAGCCATGCATTGAGCAGTAAAGTATTTCGACTTTCTATTACAAAAATGCGATTTTAGTATAATGACTAATCATAAAACTTTATGTTACTCTCTTAACATATCGTACAACAGACACTCACCACGCGAAGCTAGGCAACTGGATTTCATTTCAAAATTAATTAAAGTTATCCAGTTCATCAGAGGACACTCCAACATTGTTGTAGATCTCTTATCCAGAAAGGAAATCAACATGCTGGCACACAAACACGCCATTAGTTACGAAACTATGGTGAAGCTACAAGTAGACAATGCAGATTTGAAAGCCTGCAAAGAAATATCTAATTTTAACCTTCAATCTGTATCCATTCCTTTTTCAGAGGCATCTATCATTTGAGACACCTCAACGAGTAATAATCACATCTTGTACCATATTTCAAATGCCTCAGAGCTACCACAAAGCTCATCACAGAACGCTTCGTTTGGCCTCAAAGCAATGCGGATTTTAAGCGTTGGACACATGGCTGTTTACAGTGTCGACGCAGCGAGATCCAAAAACACAACATCAGTCCAATCGGAGAATTTCCAATCTTCGACAAACGTTTCCAACGTATTCATTTGGATTAAGTAGGGCCCCTGAAACCGTCAATTTTTTCACGCACATTGTCGCCGCGGTGAACATGTCCACAAGATGGGCCATAGCATGGCCCGTCAAAGACAAGTCTGCAGAAACAGTTGTATCAGTTTTCCTTGATCGCTGAATATCTAACTATGGAGTACCGTCGATTGACACTATATACCGTGGTCCACAATTTCAATCCGTTCTATATTAGGAGTTCTCTAAACCTTTCGGAGTAAAACACATCAAAACAACAACTTATCATCCAGTAGCAAGTGGCATGGTTGAAAGATTCCGTCGTCCATTAAAAATCTCAATGATGGCGCAAGCTGACTCTTTAAAGTGGAGCTAGGCTTTTCTGGTTGTACTCATTAGGATTCGTTCAACTATGGAGGAAGACATCGGATGCACAACCTGAACGTCACCTGGTCAACTAATCAAACATAAACCTTCAAATACAGGGGATTCCACTCACTTTGTAAACCGCTAATTACAAACGATGCAGAAAATCAAAGCAATATCCACTCGCGAAAATAACAATTGAGTCGAAGTTGATAAACATCTTGAAACGTGCAAATTTGTTTTCATCCGAGTACATGCTGTTAAAAAACCATTGAAACGACCATACGAAGGCCCGTATAAAGTGATGAAACGCACACGAAAATACTTCATCATCAATAGAAATGGCAACAAAGAGACCATTTCTATAGATATATTACAACCTGCTTTCTAAGAAACTTCTCAAGAATTAACAAGCCCTGTGAATAAACAATCTCTCCCATCAAGTACTGCGAAACAAGAGGAGGATGAAGAACTTAGCACTAGACCTTCTTGCTTAGCACGTTCTGGTTGACTTATAAAGAAACCTAAACATTATGTGCATTTTGTGGAATAATGAAATCAAAAACATTTAATGATACATATTACAAGGTTAAATTTACTCAATTTTCAAAAAAAAATAATTTTTCTTTTCTTCACATGTACATATGAATTTCTTCACGATCACTTGTTTTGGCAATTTTTTAAATAAGGAAAATTGTTTTAATAATAAACGAGTGAAATCTAGTTAATTATTTTGTTAATTGTACATAAAAATAAATAATTCAATGTTATTTTATGAGTTTAGTAACAGTTTGGCTCATTATTATTATTAGCAAACTAAGACTTTGAATGCCCGAATTTTCGTTTTTTGGGTGTATGTGCTTGTTATGCTACACTACATCAATGCTTTTTTACACAGTAACACATTTTATATTACTAATGTGCATGTCATACCTATCTCCAACTTTTTCTCATTATTATTATAAACATTATTTTGCATATGGTACCGCCGGACACACTGGGGGGAGCTATGTTGAGATAAACCTAATAAACATATTTTGTAGATAGTTTTTGATAGCTTTTGCCTTTATTTTGTTTATTTTCACAATCTGCACATTTATCACTAAACCATTATACTCGTTGTTAAAATGTATGACCTTGAGTTACTGACTACCTTCCGTTTTTGAATTACGCGTAGCATGACATTGTTAACTGCTCATAAATTAATGCACTGTTATATACACTAGCCTCGCTCTATCATGCCTCTGGATATGATAACTGAACTATTAATTAACTATCATCTATATTTATAGACTGTTGTGACATTTCCATTGTATTATACGTTTGGCGAACTTACTGGAGCCATATCTACCTCATTGGGATTATTAATTATCTATAATTGTAGATTTCAGTACCAAGCACAACGGAACACGCAACAGCCAGCTTACTTTAGTAACGTCCCTGAACTTTTATTTGTTTTAATAACCTATAAGCTGTTTACTGCTACATTAACTTTTGGACGTAATAACTTTATTGCTTTTTTAGTTAATATACTTTTTGGTCCACCACAATTTACTTAAGGGGTTGTCGATGTGTTGAGAAGCGTTCGGTCAAAGCTGGTTAGTAACTACTGAGAGTAGGTAGCACGGTGTTCCCACTAGTGTTTGATGGAGGTGCATTATTGAGCTCCTCCATATATCATGTGTCCAAAGAAGTCAATATCAAAGTTAAAGACATACAGAATTAACTATATTGACAATTTATTCACCACGAAAGATCGTAGTCCCTTGAAGTAATAGAGATGACCAGTGAAATATCACTGAGCCCTAGTCAAAGCATACGGCAGTTGGGTCACTGGATATAGAACAGACCATCATTCCCTGTCAAGGTCAAGAACAATCGATGCCCATCAGTTGATCGTATACGATGGACTGATGCATGCGGTGGTGCTCTCGCTATATTCTCTGTACTCAATCTTACTAATATATATCCATGATGACTTCCTTTATGTTATACGGTCTTCAAAGCAGCCAACGTACTTTGATACGTCGAAGGGGTAATCCACGTTAAATGCTGATCGCGAGGGGTGATTTCGAAGTTAGCTGGTTCGTCACACCATTCCTGTCTAACTCGATAGGCCTCCAATCATTCGAATTGGATCGCCTACGTTGGTGATGAGAAATGTTGTGCAAGACTTCGAATAACTCAACCTAACATTATGATCTTTATCGCTGCATTCTTTACTTATTATTTTTTTCGTCATTTATGTGAATCGATTACTGTGAACATTCGTTGCTTTATAACAATGTTGATTAGCATTTAAACGTAAATAATTATTTCAATTAAAAGAACTAACCAATCAACTACGATTATAGTCAGCTTTTGTGGTTCTTTATGAAGCATTAGCACCATGTAAATGCTCCTGTGTAATATGTCTGTTAAAATATCAGCCATTGTAAGTATAGACATAAGGCAACATAAACGCACATCTGCTTGTAACTTATCCACTTGTATAAGCTAGACAAAATTAAATGTTGATTGTGAATTCATTATTCTGCCTGATTACTATCAATTATCTTCTGTCACAAACCATTGCTTGCCTAATTTTCGACTGCTGAGTTCCATGGTCAAATAAAGGATACAGATGCAAGGAATTTGCGGTGAGTTTGTTTTATATCCTAGCGAAGAAATAAGTATGGGTAATATCCGGGACCTATTAAGCTATGTATATTCTTATTGTTTAACTATTGAGTAAGTCAATTGTGTATATCTATATTCATCTTATGATAAGCTTCATTTCGACCTATGGATTATTATTATACGAATTACTGTTTCTAAATTATGCTAAGTTTATTGATTACTGTTTCCCACGTTCACAGTCATATTTGGCTCGATCTTGTACAAATATTATTTTCTATTTTATGGTGTGATGTGGTCTATCTGTCTGGTATATAAACAGAGTATGCTTGAAATAAATGATTTGCATAGCAGCAGCTGCAATTGGTGTTCTGGACTCAATTGGAAGGGCTAGGCGGACAAGGGACCAATAAGGGCGCTAGACTGCTCATACCGGTCGAAGTCATTGATTTGTCACAGTGTTAATATTAGAGAAGTCGTATTTCGATTAGTGGATAATTCACGTGATAGAAGCCGGACATAAGATCAATAATGAATTAGCATACGTCTTTTATATTTTTTTATGAAGTCTTAACAAATTGGCGACTGCCTTTTGTAAAGTCATAACAGCTTGAACTACAAATTTCCTGCAATCTTAGGTCTCCTTTAGACTATTCGTTAGGTAATGCTGCGTGTTTAGATTAAACCAATTTTGGACTTATACAAATCCAGTATATAACGCTGTATTAATGCAAGAATTTATTCAACAGTACCTCGTATATAATCCAGATTCGAACTACTGTCTACTTCAGATTTTTATTACTTGGAAGCGAGAGTAACCTAGGCGAGTTTCATAATTGCGTTAGATAATTTCGTACTATATTTATGATGCCTAATAATGTTTCACAGTTACTTTCACGTAGAGCAGTCATATATTTAGTCACTGCCGTCGAGTTTTAGTTGAAATCATGTACATTTATGACTCGTAAGTCGACATACTGTGAAAAAATATATTGTATGTACACGAGCAGTCTTGGTCCATGTCCTAACTAGACACTTTGTCGTGCGTAATATGTAAAAACGCCAGATAATAAGCTCATTACGGGTCAGTCATGTTATCTAAACCCAAACTTTAGTTACATTGGTTGTTACCATTTTAATTAATGTTTACTATACTCTTTCTACTTGCCTTTATTTCACGGTAAATCATGGCTCGACTCCCTTATCACACTAATGTCACTTTACTTCCGTTTCCGGTTTATTTACATTCAATACGGGTTTCAAAAATATCTAAGCGACCTCTGAAATTCTCCACGATCCCCAACATGGTCTTCGTACATTATTTTTATCGACATTTCCAACTGTTACACTAATAATACCCAAATGAACGTTCAATGTAACTCTCAGCATACGAAAGGACGATGTTATTCCGATTTGACGTCATAGAACATCCGAATTATTGTAATTATTCAACTTAGTACTTTGTTTTACGAAGTATTGTTTCCTCGTGATTGTTATCCAACAGGTGATTTCAGCACATCAATCGGCTGTTCAACTACTCGACGATTTAAAGCCTGCCCGGTTCAATTGGTTGTCTGACGACATTGTCATTCTCGCGAATCATCACTTTACGCAGTCGAGCAAGTCTTCTTCAAACTGAAAACGGCCTTGTTGCCTCTATTCCAACACTGACAGCGTTTTTTACCAGTATCGTTGACATGAGTCCAGAGTGACACTCTTGGCTTCCAATGTTTTTTCGATATCTTTCGGTTCACTTATCGAACAAACATGCAGTACTTGTTGTTTATCACCATGTCACCTTCGTCCTCAATCCGAAGGGAAAATCTTTCGTATAGTTTTGAGTGTTGCCTTCTTAAAGCAAAGTGACTTCCTTATAGTCCTTGGAAAAGTGTACACAAAATGTGCACCTCTTACAGATATCAGTGTTAGGAAAAGGTTTTCGATGGGGTGTAAATGATAGATGGAAACTTCAGAAATCGACACCCCGTATTAATATCCACTGATCTTAATCGAATAATTATAGATGATAATGATAATGAACAAATTGTTAGATTGATGAGAATAACTGCTATGTTCATGATACCATATAAATGCGGTCTTATCTACAATTACACGACTATATCGGATTATTCAACACATCACTTCAACTATATCAGGACAAATAAACTAAGGTATTCAAGACACGACATGAAGAGATTTTATCAAACAAAGACTTAAAAAAAAGTAATAAAATCAACAATGAAGTGAAATTAGTAGATAATTTTTAAAAAATGCTTCCCCATTTGAAACTCAAAACAAAACGAATTTCGGAGTATGTCCTACATAAGAAAATGATAATTTGTTTATTTTGTGACAGACTATCAAGAATGCTAATAACAATGATGGGATATTTTTTTGAAGTTCAAACGTCAGGAACAAAATTTCCGAGAAGAAAATACGTAGAAGATTAAAGCAACATAGTTTGAAAGGATGGGAATCGCTAGAATTCATAATATGTAGGGAGAAAATACAGTGACACAAGGTAAAAAAAATCAAACAAAATACTACTATCAACCACGGTATCCAGTATATAGTGACTTCTGAAACAAAGAATAAGTTTAAAAAAAGGACAAAAGGGTTGTTCAGGAGAAAAACCTATTAAAATAAGAAAAGATTAAATAGGTCAAAAAACGTAACCAATGACCATATGATATGATAACATGTCAAATTGTCAACCTTAATAATAATATTAGTATATACTACTTAAATCACATCGAAATCATAAAGTATGACAGTTTTATCATAAGAACCAGAAATAATCACAGAACCTGATATCACAGCACATGTTACACCATCTTCATGTTCTTGTAAACTATTGACAAATTTATTATCACCTACTTGCCAAACCTAATTTATGGTAAAGAAAAAAAAGAATATAACAACAAAAGTATGAGTAAAATGAGGAAAAATGTTTGAACAGCCATAAAAAGTTTTCATTGTATTACCAATATAGTGAACGAAGATTTGGATAGGGTGAACTAATCAATAGTATCAAGAAAAAATCATACAATGCATTTATAAAATATGAAGACAATACATTATGAATACACAATTTAGATATCTTCCTTGAATTGTATCTTACAAACTTCAATGTCCGTCTATTTCTGTTGTTAATCAAACTAGTTTTATTTTTCTTTCACTTCTTCCCATTTCCCTATTCTGTCAGTAAGAATCCTATTTTCAATTCGTGATACACAATAATTTTATCTATCCGTATAAATAGCACATACTATAACAAAACGTATATTGAAAGACAGAATGATATTGAGAAACAAAAGCGAGTATCTACGACTACTTGAAATAACAAAGATTATATATGAATTTAGATGTATATACGTAATTAGAAGAACAGTCTAGAAAATGTATAAGAAATCTAGGTGGGAAGTGATTTAGAAAAAAGTGATATAATAGATTCGTAAAAGAAGTACATATAAATTGGATGAATTCAATTACCAATATCCAATGTTACAATGAATGCAAGGACAAGCGGTGTAACAACAGAATAAATAGAAAGTTAATTAGCAGAAGCATAACAGAAATACAAGTTATCATGGAGATGAAAAACTTATGGTAATTCGCTGTATAAAGTCAGGTTTGATTATATTCGTAGTAAATCAAATTAATAAATAATTCTTAATTTAAGATCCAGTTAAATGAGACAAGGAAAGCAAAATAACTTTAATACCATTACTTTTCACACAAAATCCAAGTATATAGGTCCTATTCGATAAATAAGTTGGCTAGAAATCGCTTTAAAGTACGAAAGTAAGTGAAGAAGAGTTTTAACCTGATGACATTCAGAAGTTGAAAATTAGTGCCCGAACAATCGATCATTCTACACATATAAATATGAATTTTCAGGATATTGTGGTCTGTTTTCAGTTTTAAAAAAGGAACACGAAGGTTAAAGGGTTATTATATACACATTGAATCATAATTTGACAAATCGTAATTTATTTTATGAGTTGAACTTAAAGTAGTGGAACCAAAAGAAGAGTTCGTAGAACTTGTGTAAATAGATCTATGTATCAGATATATGAATAAACTATAGATGTGATATAAAGTTGAAACTGATGTGGATAGAATTTTGTAATCATTACCAGATTGTAACAACACATACCGTGAGCTATTAGTATTCCAATCGACAAAAGATTTTTATTGTTTGCTTCGCTTTTATATTGCAACACAATTTACCAATGGAAACATAACTCAAGACCAATAATACTCATTATTCACACTGTAACGAATATGTTTCTGTATCCATTAACTAATGCCAGTTCATTGCATAACATATTGAAAATGAACTAGATGTTATTTCATTCCATTCAGAAAAAGAAGTTCTGAATTGCTATGTTTGAAGATATTGTGAGTTCACCTAAATCTACAAACGGAACGAAGATTTAGCGACATAACGACTAAATAAGCTAATTATTCTAATACGTCTCAGCCTCGCTAACTAGAGAGAGAAGTTCAGGTTCCGAAGAGGCACAATGTATTCGAAAAGCAGCCAGAAGTACGAACGACAACAACAAGCACAACTCAAGCGTATATATACATCATTAAAATGTCATCGGGAAATGTTACAAAATAGTATATTAAAAGAGACAAAAAACCAATGACATTTAAGGTCCTGCCAAGTGGGAAATACGATATAAAGGTGAAAATGGGCACTTTTGGCGCGAAAACAAGAAATTCAGATTTCCAAAATAAAACTACGAAAATAAGGCATTCCATGATCGATATCAAAATGAACATTCGAACAATTGAGCTTATATTCAACTGCTATAAGGAGAATTATTTGTGTAAACAACCAAACACTTCAGTCTAAATGATATGCCAAGAAAAAATCTAAGAATATGGTTTCAAAACAAAACAAAACACTCACTAACGTATAAAATTTAAAATTGCTGATGTACAACCAAACAAATGAGTTAACAGGTTGATACTAAACATACGTAGGATTATTGCTACACACTATACTCACCTTAATAGATTTATCATCCGAACCACATATGATATGCCATGCATCCCCAGTTAAACATCGTATTAAACTGCCCGATTTATAATCAGTTTTATATAAGTATTCATCTAAATATATCGTACTGGGATAAAATGCCCACGTTAAACTATTGTTGTTGTTATTAGCAGTAATGCCAGTAGTATTTGTAACGCTTAAGTCATGGTTATGACCATTTATCAATGGATTAAATGCTGATAAATGTTTTGCTAATACTGTACCATCATGATAAGCTACAACAAGTCTATTCTGTGAATAATCCAAGTGTAAACATGAAACTGATGAAGAAAATATAGGTGTTTCTGTCAAATTATTTCTATAAATTGGTCGAATAAGTGTATGATAACATACACCAGTTGAGATATTCCATATCTAGAAAAAAAATCATACAATGAAAGAAATGTTCAAGTGGAAATACTTTGAAACATTGCAATTTTGAAGAAACGAAATATTTATAAAATTTGAAAACTTAAAACCAAAGAAACCATTTACTAGTTATGAATGATGATATTGACTACTTCATTTAGTAGAACCCTATACATCTACACAGTCCTCAAGAATACTATGCTAACTTTCTTAGGGGTTAGAATGTGTTTGTGAGTTGTCAAGTTTAGAATATGTGTAATGTGGACATATCACAAGCTGTTATTGTTATTATAATGTTTGTTTTAAATTGTCTTCTTTGTGTATAACTATTAATCAGTTTTTCTAAACTATTTAAGATTTTATGGTAAGCAAAGATGGATAGTGGCTAGCAGTGGAATCCAATTTGATGTGCGTTTCGTCCTATTTGGGATTCGTCAGCTGGATGTACCTGCATCTCAGAGTTGATGTTCACTCTGCGACTCGAACCCAGTACCTTTCGCTATAAGAGACGGACCAGTTATAGTCCTAAAACATCAATGGGAAGATTCAAACAAACAATACAAAGTGAATTTATTAAGAATTTTTATTGTTTTAAATATAATGAAATTTTCAGTCGGGTGTGTAACAATTAAAATCCTGATTCCGATTATCTCGCAAGATATTTGACAAAAACTATGATTCAATGAACATGAGTTCCAAAGTTTTACGGTTATGACACCATCGCATATATTTAATAAGAACACACTGAATTAACCTTCCAGTGACATTTTAAACCACAGTACACCACATGATTCGTCATCTTTCTATACTCCAGGTAACTCCATATACTCGTATAGTTAGTTTCATTTCAACTGATATGGCCTCACATAAATTATAAATTAAAATAATTTTCACCTAGAAGCCTCGCTTGAATGTAGGAAAACGTTTCATTACATTAAGTGAAAGTGTGAAATTATCTAGATAAGAGTAGATTAAGAAAATTTAGCATCATGACACAAGTTCATTCAGTTAATCATGAATTCTGTATTTTTGTAAAATATTGAAAAGAATTATGAACGAACTAATTATTCATAGGCCAAATTAATACGCTACATTAACAACTTCATTGAAACATTAACACTTGAAAATATACACTCCAAAGTGAGTCATTCTAAGATATAAACAAATAATACTAGTTAGAATTATCATAGACCCCAAATGCCCTGGTACGGCCGAGGGTGGGTAGAGTCTGCTCCCCCCCTCGAAATGCTCTCACATGACCACGCGTAGACAGCCATCGCCAGGGAAGTCTTACTCACTGATTTCTCGTGGCATTATTGTTGTTTACGAAATTGAGAGGACGAAAGGAGAATATCTGACTAATTAACTGTGTTGGTGGATATGAAGGATCCACTTAAGGCAGTTGGAAAACCCTGATTTCAAATCACTGTTGCACATGAGCTCTAAAATCGTGAAGGAACAAACGGAGTATGAACCGATTATAACTTACTTTTTTACCCACAATCTACATATATACACAGTTTCATCCCCACTACTTCATATTACAAATATATATATATTACTCATACTCAACCTCCAGACTCACATATTAATAGTGACATGTCATACCAATTCACCTTGACCAAAAATAACTTGACAGTGATGTATTCACATCTATTACGATTTTGACTATACAGAGTATATTCTGCATTGTTTCCTTTGTATTATTTAAAATTGTGTTAATCGCATTACATTTCTTTATTAACTCAGAAGAAGTGGCATACATTAATTTACAAGATGTCAGAATTACAATTTTCTACTCATCAAGCTATCAAAACAGTACATATTTATTATTAAAATTCGTATTTATCTGAAACTTACTCGAACTGTATTATCTAAAGATCCAGAATATAAAAAATTATCACTGTACACTAAACACGTTATACCAGCTGAGTGGCCACTATAAACAGAAGAGAACAGAGCAGAAGTAAGAATATATTTATTTTTAATATGCTTTTAAAAATTCTCTGTGGATCAGATCTTTAAGTCAAAGGCTCGGGGTGTGGCCCCCTAAGAAAGCCACCCGCTTCGGTTAGGGCACCCGGGGAGTATCACAGCCCACATACAAATCAAGTGACTAGTGTGGCGCATATGTATCTGGTGTTCCTATGTACCAATATTAATGTGTTTATAGTAGGAAAAAAAGGTACGATGATACAATGAGATCATAATTAGTTCATAACAATTAACTGACTAATAAGACAGTTTATAAAATAAATTCTTGTTAAGACCAGGAAGATAAGTAGAATTGTAAAAATTTAATAGCTGTTTTCGAGACAGTTGGTATATATATACGCTTGTTGAATAATCATTTCTTGTTTTTTTTAATATTGTCATAACTGTAATCTCTTTTGAATATTTGAGCCCCGAATGCCCTGTTACGGCCGAGAGTGGGGACAGTCCGTTCTCCCTCTCCAAATGCTCTCACATAGCCACGCCTATATGGCCTATGCCAGAGAAGTCCTACTCACTGCTTTCTCGTGGCAGGGTGGTTATTTACAAAATTGAGAGGACGAAAAGCGAATATCCGGTGCTTTCACTGAGTTGGTGGACACGGAAAGTCCATCTAGGGGAGTTGGAAAACCCTGATTACAAACCGATGGTGCACATGGGCTCCAGTATCCTGTGGAAACAAATGGTATATGAATCAATTGTTGGTTACCAACTACCATGAGACTGCATCTCCTCACGATGCTCCACTGCCCTGTGGATGAGATCTTTAGGTCAAAGGCTCGGGGTGTGGCCCCCTAAGAAAGCCACCTGCTTCGGTTAGGGCACCCGGGAAGTATCACAGCCCACATACAAATCAAGTGACTAGTGTGGTGCATATGTATCTGGTGTTCCTTTGTACCGATATTGATGTGTTTAAATAAATAAATAAATTGAATATTTGACTGTTGGAACATTTTTTATCAATTATAAATTACCGATAATTAACTATGAATCTATTACCTAAGTTTTCGCCGGAAATATCCTAGTTATGAACATACTGAGACTTTTTACTTATGATGTGTGTTGATCTTTTATTTTATGTTTATAATTAGGCTATACTTTAAGTCCGAAAAGGACAGATTACGATTAGGCGATTGCATGGTCTTTCAAATTTATGAGCAGATAAGAGTATGTGGACAGTCGACGGTAACACTATACAGCAAAGGTGTGAGAGGACTTACAGTACAGAGGAAGTTGGAAATTGTAACAATACCTAAGTGTTAGATCTGTTGTGATAATATAAGGAGAATAGTGATATATATATATATACTCACCGGAAAATCCTTTTCATTTGACCACTAATTATACTCCATAACCGTATTGTACAATCATATGAACCGCTGATAACTTTTTCATGATCAGCCTAAATAATACAACAAAATAAAATCAAACTCTTAAAATATTTAAACCAATCAAAGATGAATTTTAATCGGTATTGTCAGAATATTTAACTTTCAATCTACCAATACTGTTAGACCACTGAACTGCGAACGCGGAGACTACAGGAGTAAGAAGTTTATGTGGCAAGAAAGATAATGAATACTTCATGGAAACATGGAAACTCTTGTAATAATTTAGCTAATGACCTGGTTACGTGGTGGCATGAGAAAATAAACAAATATTGTGGTGTGTGCTACTTATGTCGACATAAGTAGTATATAACACCGATGAGAAGTGGAATACCTGGTGGCGGAAGGTTGAGAAGAACGAATCAAAGAGAATAAGAACAGAGTAATTGTTATGGCAATGAAGTATGAGACAATTGATGGGGTATTTGCAAACGAAGTATTGAACGTATGGTTTGCATATTTGACGAAAGAACTCTGTATTTTTGTGTTAAAATAAAATTGGTTGTATCCAACTGTTCTCGTCCACTACAACATAAGTGATAAATAATTCATAAATGCTGTAAATCTATTCCCAAACGAGTTCGAAATAAAAACAACTAATCTACAAAAGAGAACGCTGATTTTAGCGATACAGTCAATAGGTCTGTGGAATACATATGTAGGTCTGAGACTTGAATTGACTTGGTCAAACTTGATGAAGAGGTCTATTCATCTCATAATATTAAGTTTCAGCAAACATTTAATAACCACTTCATTCACATTTTAAGTGCAAAAAAATTTCTTTATTGATAGAAAATTCATGTTTTGCATAGCTATTTCGAACTATAAGGGATCCCAATTAACACATTTTTGGCTAACGTAGGATACTAAAACAGTGCACAATATAATCTCTGAAAAGGTTATAAAATATAGACTCAGGAAGTATACTTCACACTTAGATGCTCGCATTTGAGGAATAATTTGCGAAGTATTGACAGCTTAACTGACTTTATAATCCAATAATGAAAAATTAAGATTATCATATACTACATGGAAATAGTTGTCTAGGTTTAAAATGGTGATCTACCTAACTGCTTTACTGAAAATGATCCCATGAGATAGAACTACGAAAATGTCACTATTTCGAATGACTAAAGAACAAATGAAAGTCATCTCATTTCACTACTGAGATCAAACTAATAACATTTACATTTGTGAACAGCTATAATTCATTCGCCATGGTAACATAATGTAAATTATATATTGAATTTTTAATGCGAGTAATCACAGCTTACAAGGCAATATTATATTTGTCATCGCCTAGCTATAACCTATACTTCCATGTTCTTATTCATTGTCTTGATACTATTTAAAAAGAAATAGTTATCACACATGTCGACAATCTGAAATACTGAGCTGAACAATAACATAAGGCGCAAATTATGTAATGTTTATAGTGTTGCCTAGTTTGTTAATTAAAATATGTGATAATTATTCTGTGAAAACAATCTCAAGACAACAGTTACCAATTTACATTCAATTAACATTGAAGCAAATTTCGAGCACAGACAGTAATTACATATTCAATTTTTAATTTATTACCACAGTGATTTCTACACTGATCTGTGTAACGTATATTTTTTTATACCAGGAACCTCATTCGTCTTACAAAGAACTATCTCCTTGAGTCAGCTCAATGTGCACTTACCAATTGACTTTTACACTTCCTCTAATATCTTTTTACTACCACTTAAATTCATAAAACTTTTGATTACTTAATATAATGATTTAATATATCTAATGTATTTGATACTTAAGAACGTTGATTAGTTTCAATTACTTTATTAAATTATGTAGTACTCTTTGACAATTTTCATTAGATTACTAAATTATGCAACATCTCTACATTTCTCACTTATTTAAAAAGGGTGTTTGATGATGTAACAGCCTTCTGGTACATTATGGGCTATAAATGGCTAAATTACATGTAAATACACTTGAACAATTTAACAAAACGGCATCGTCGAGAAAAAAAAACATTTTCTTTGGTAAAACTTCAATATTCTATTTATTGTTTAACTGTAAGCAAAAAGAACATGCCACCTACAACCCTTTTAAAAAATAATTAATCTTGATATGTTTTTTTATTAGATTAATTTATTTCCAGACAAACAAATAACTACGACAGTCATAAATTTATGTCCATTAAGAATGAATGTGCCAATTTCGTTCGATTTATTTGCATGTACAGTGTAATCGTCATGGAGATCCTATACTATACCAATTTGGCATTATACGTTACTTCTCTAAAACACAATTAGAAAATAAGCAGTTATAAATGCCTTCTATTTCTTATATCATTTATACGTTTAGTCAATCAGTTGACATTTCAGTGATATTCGAGTATACCCTTGGAGGAATAAACTACAAATGACTAAATTCATTCAGTATTGTTTGTTTGAATCTTCCCATCGATTTGTTAGGACTGCAACTGGTCAGTCTCTAATTGGCATATGTGCATACTGTGCGTATTGCCTCAATATAGCCTTAATTCACAAGCATGGTAAGCAGAGATGGATAGTGGCTAGCAGTGGAATCCAATTTGATGTGCGTTTCGTCCTATTTGGGACTCGTCAGCTGGATGTACCTGCGTCTCAGAGTTGATGTTCACTCTGGGACTCCAACCCAGTACCCTCGCTTCAAACGCCATCGCGTTATCCACTCGGCCACTGAGTCCTGATAGCCACTTGCTTGTGCGATGGGGTGAAGTTTTAATTCATTCAGTATTGTTTGTTTGAATCTTCCCATCGATTTGTTAGGACTGCAACTGGTCAGTCTCTAATTGGCTAAATATAATAATAAATATATAATGACTAAATATAATTGAAAAAAACTTGATGCCGTGTCTATATAATTCTTTTTATTGAAGTATGTATTTCCCAGTATCATACCTTCCAGTCTTTTTGATTTCAGCATAATAATGATTATAACTAGTTCATTCAGAGTATAATAATACTGATTAATAAATCAGTAAATCATTACACCTCATAATAGGATGAAACGGCCGTACAGTGCTTCCATGTTTTCAATAGTGGTCTAATATTAATCGATTCATAATCTCAATCGAAAATATTATTATTGTTTTCAAGTAGTACAATTACACAACGACATTTTAACATTTAGGTATTCTAGAAAATATAACGTTTGATATCCTGTCGTAATATATATAAAACCTGTGTTTGAAATAATCGCATAGGCAGTCTATACTGAACATTTGTCAAAGCACGTTCAAAGATTGCTTTCGTGTAGAGTAACAGACTTCTAAACGAGATGAACTAGCTAAACTATTTGAACACTTTAACGATGTGTACATCTCCAATTCATTTTAAGTGAAATTACAACACACTATGCTACTATTCACTGTCACTGTGTAGATTTATATGATTAATTTCATTATGTGTACTTTAACTTTGATAATAACCAGAACGATTATTATGTCGACATCCAATTTATTCGCAACATTCTTAATCATAATTCATTTTGTATTGTTTGTTTGAATCTTCCCATTGATGTTTAGGATTGCAATTGTTCAATCTCTTATTGGTATATGTGGATCCTGTGTGGATTGCCTCAATACTGTCTTAATTCACAAGCAATATAGGCAAAGATGGATGGTGGTTAAAAGTGTAATCCAGGACGCGCATTGACTTGTTATAAACCTTATTGATTGTTGACAATTACCATGTTCATTGTTTGAGAGTTAGGTCACTAATATTCTGTCTTTTAGTGGATAAAATTTGGATACCATTAATTGTCTTCGTTCATTAATAATTAAAATTTGTTTACTTAAAAAAATTTATTTTGCCAAATAGTTGAAACGATTAAGATAGCTTTTTATGAAACTACGATTCTGACCACCCAATGACAACTAGGCATTCTCAACAAAAATTAATCAATCACATTGCAATAAAGAAGGGTTAGTATTAGTTAAATATCACTGGCCAACACCACATTAAAAAAGTGAGATCGAACCAATCACTGTAAGGACGGCTCCCTATTGTACTTGCAGCAGACGCATCAAACTATGGAATAGGAGCTGTGATCTCACATATTTACCCCGACCGTTCTGAGAAAGCCATTGCCCACGCATCCAGATCACTGACAGTGACAGAAAGAAACTACAGTCAAATAGAGGAGGCACTAGCCATTATCTTCGCGGTTAAAAAGTTCCACAAGATGCTGTTTGGCAGGCAATTTACATTATTAACAAACCACAAACCCTTACTGACAGTCTTTGGGTCCAAGAAGGGTATTCCTCTTTATACAGCTATCCGCTTACAGAGATGGGCAACAACGCTCTTGGGGTATGATTTCAAGATTAAATACCATCCTACGACGAATTTCGGACAAGCTGATGCACTCTGAAGGTTGATTGGTTCCCAGGCAAAACATGAAGAAGACGTACTGGTCGCCGCAGTAGAAGCTGAAGTTCAGGCTGTGTTAACAGATGCAATTGCTGCCCTGCCGACCACATTTGAAAATATTAAAGAAGCAAGCAAAAAAGATAATACCTTGAAGACTATCCGCCATTTTCTACTCAATAAGTGGCCCTCAGGACAATTGCAAGGAGAGATTTTACAATACTTTCGTCGACGAGAATCTCTCATAATTGTCGATTCCTGTATCATGTTTGGACAACGCATTATCCTCAGCACTCTCCGAAGATGAGTGCTCAAACAGTTTCATATGGGGCACCCGGGAATGAGCAAAATGAAATCGCTGGCACGAAGCTACGCATACTGGCCTTCTATGGATCAGGATATAGAACAATTGCGCCACAGCTGCGAATCATGTCTAGAAACGGCGAAGAACCCAATGTAAGTAAAACCACAACCGTGGCCAAAACCAGATGGTCCCCGGCAAAGATTACACGCGGATTTTGACGGCCTGATACAAGACAGGAACTTTTTAGTCATTGTGGACGGCTACACAAAGTGGCCGGAAGTATATGAAACGGAAAGTACGACGTCGGAGA